CAATTTTAAATTGAGTATGACCACCAGGTATAAAGGTTGGAGCAGAATAGAAGACAATAGTTGTGAGGGTTACTAATCCCTAAATACCGTTGCCAGTATCGGAGTGATGGAGGTTAACAGGTACTAATGAATTTGCAAGAAATGTAAGATGTTTATTTTATTGGTTATATATAACCAATAAAAGTTTAATAAGTACCTACCTATTTGCAAAATAAAGTTTAATTCTTTAGATAAAATAAAACGTTTTATTTTATCTGAAATGAGTGCATTCCACGAAGTAAGGGTTTCAACAATCAAACATTTAATTTTTTAATTCCAGGAATCTACGACAGTAATTGACTAGATAATTACCTTCTAAACTTATTCCACAGAAAATGTGATAGTGGGTTTTTCCATTTTGTAGGAAGGTCCAAGTGGCGTATTCAAAAATTCTTAACAGTTCACTAAAAGTAGGTACTTCAGTTTGCAAGGTGCAGTTTATTGTGTATACTAGTGTTATGGAAAATTTGGAAGTGCCGTGTAAACGCCGAAAAATTGGTCCTTTAACAGTTAATGAAAAAACATTAATATTTAATTGTTTTAAATCATTTACAGACAAACGTTTATGTGAACGTGTTGATGAGACCGTTGAGTTAGTTAGCAGTACACTTGATGTTGGGAAATCTACGATTTACAGAGTTATTAAAGAAGAGAAATGTGGTAGTTTCAAATGCCACGTAATGCTCCAGGGAAACCAAAATTTCAAATAGAATATCATTTTAAAGAAGGACTTCGACGGAAAGTGCATGAATTCTTCTTTAGACAAGAATTTCCAACATTGGATAAAGTTCTTGTCTCAGTTCGAGATGATAAGGATTACCCAGAAATGAGTCGAAGTACGTTATGGAAACTTTTAAAAGAAATAGGCTTCCGCTAGAAAAAGAATCCCAGAAAGTCTATTTTATTAGAAAGAAGTGATATTGTCATATGGAGAAGACATTTTTCTAAGAACCATAAAGGAAATGAGAAACCAAAAAAGAAAAATATTTTATCTTGATGAAACATGGATCAACGAGGGTCATACACCAAATAAATTTTGGCAGGATGAATTGTTACAAGTCAAAGGCACCTTTTGTAAATAACTTATCTACTGGTTTAAACCCACCATCAGAAAGGAAGCAGGCTGATAATAGTACACATTGGCAGTTCAGAGGGTTTTTTTGAAGGTGGTTTATTAACTTTTGAATCAACTCGTACCGGTGACTACCATGAAGACATGAAACGCTGATGTCTTTCAAGAATTGTTCGAACAAATGATAGATCTTCTTCCTAAGAACTGTGTAATAGTAATGGATAATGCAAGTTATCACTCCAGACTTATAGAAGGACTGCCCACAACCAAGTGGTTAAAAAAAGACATTGCAGAATTTGGCTGAGTTCAAAAAATATTACGTACCATCCCGGATCTATAAAAAAGGAACTTTATTCGTTGTGTGCCCTTCATAAAGAAAAATTTAAAAAATACGAAATTGACGAAATTGCCAAAAATCGTGGAATGACACTACTTAGATCCCCACCATATCATTGTGAAGAATTAAACCCGATTGAACTGGTATGGGCACAGATAAAGAGTGAAGTTTCAAGAAAAAATACCACTTTTAAAATTCATGATGTTATTTTTTGGATGCCGTAAATAATGTAAAACCTGAAAACTGGAAAAGACATTAAATCACACTATTAAAGAAAGAGAAAAAATGTGGAAGCTGGACAATATTACTGATAAAATGATCGAGCCAGTTATTATAAATCTTGGTTCTGAAAGTTCATCTTCTGAATCTGATTTGGATTTGTAACAAGTAGCTGTAAGTTTTATATTAATATTTTTATTCATGTATTTAACATACCTTAGACGGTTTTAAAAACTCTTTTTCTCTTTTGTAATTTTTAAAAATTAAAAAAAATGTGAATTTTTTAAAACCCTTTTAATGTAGGCCAGTCAGTTCTAATATAGTGTGTGATAAAAGAGGTCACTTTTGTTTACATACACATAACACTGTATAACACTGAAATAATTCATTTATTTTTTACAATTATTCTAAGTAATTTTTCAATTAATCTTGAGCACGCCCATGGAGTGGTCGAAGGTACCAGTTAAAATTATGCTAATTACTCTCTCGTTCATAAAAATAAACTATAAAATAGGGGTGACGGATGCTAATTTCCAACTAGGGGGTAAGGAGTTCTGGATTTAAAGAAGTTTGCATAATTAACGTTAAGGGTATTGACAGCGCGTCTGCGTACATTTTTAACAGTTTTGGTGTTAAACCTTCTAAACCAGAAGAAGCGGCATTGCAAAGTTTAATTAAGTGTTGTTTGACATGATCCACTGTGAATTCAACTTTCTGTAAGGATGCGTCGACACGGTTACAAGTAATAGCAGGTAGATAGCCATCATTCGATTTTTTCGTAAAAACCTATGAAAATGCAAGATAGAGAGTTTCGGGAAGAGCATAAAGTCTGGTTGGGTTTTTTTATCAGACAGATGTTATCAGACATTATTTGTAGCAAATTAAATTGTCTATAACCTTCTAACATTCTAAACATTCTACTACTACAGCATGTGCTTCTCCCCCTTTTTTGTTATATATTACATCTTTTTGTGATTACAACACAAAATAGAGAAGTACGCAATCAAATAAAAGAAGCAAAAAACAATTTCTGGGAACAAAAATGTGTCCAAGTTGAAAGTTAAATTGATGGTTCTCACACTACAGAAACATGGAGAACTATCACTAATCTAAAAAAACATCCATAAATCCTATAGAAATGTCAGTAAATCACTATAACAATTTACTCCAAGAGTCCAGATTGGAATATATGGGAGAGGAATACAGTATGGAGAGACAAACAAATAGTAACATTATATTCTACTTACAACTAGGTCCGTACTGAGTTAATTAAAATGAAAAAAAACGGGGCGGGCTCAAAGATCTGGCAATATACCTGTAGAGTTAGTTAAAGCAAGAGGTCCACTCCTAATAGAATGAATAAATTTTCTTAATGAATCAATGCTGCCAACAAATTAAAGTACCATCTGAATGGAAAACGCTCACCAAGTGTCCCTGAAGTATGAACAGTTAATGCAGACCTGAAGTGAAGATTGTTGGCAGTTGAAATGGATTATTTAAGAAGTGCTAGAACATCAAGGCTGGAAAGGAAGACCAATGAATCTATAAGAAATAAGATGAATACTACAGAAACAGTCGTTGACAGAATAGAAAGAAGAGATATAAAATTGGTTTGAACACCTATTGAGAATGCTTGACGAACTTTAGACCCAAAAACTTTACAGATGGAAGCCCTCTGGAAGAAGAAGAAGAGGTAGACCTCGACGCTCATGGAATGACGGAATTAGAAGAGCAATGGAATCGAGAGGTTTGGAGGAGGAGCATGCCTTGGACCGGGAGGATTGGCGGAGGAGAACGGGAATACTGCGATAGCGGTCTCCAAAATGTATTTTATTTACAAGTTGGATCGTGTAATATAATTTAAGGGTCATCTGACCTCATTATGTGGCTAGTTCCAACTACTTTATAGACGTAAGTATTACCCTCATTTTCAATTTAACAGACAAAAGTTTAGGCTTTTGTTTTCATTTTTAAGTGGTTATACTTATTTGTAGGTTTTTTACTGATGATGATCTGATCGAAAACGTTCTAAAAATATCAATTTTGGATAATTTTTAAAAATTTTACAAAAAGTACTTTACTTCATTGTAAGTTTTTTTGTTACTTGTACAATATTCTTAGGTAATTGATCAGAAGTTCTACCATTTTGCTACCATTTTTCTACCATTATACAAAATATACCTGCAGGCAACAACCACTGTCAGATTACATAGTAATAGTAATCGCATAAAAATAAAACGGGGGGTTAGACAAGGAGACTCAATGTCACCTAAACTTTTTAATACGGTGCTAGAACATGCTTTTAAGAATTTGGATTGGATGACAAAGGGAATAAAAATAGATGGAGAATATCTAAACAACTTACGTTTCGCCGATGAAATACTTATAATACCTAAAGATCTAAGTATGGCAAGAGAGATGGTACAGGAACTCGATGTGGCTACAGAAAATGTAGGTTTAAATATAAATATCTCGAAAACAAAAATCATGACCAATTTGGTGCCCAACCAGAACATCAGTATTGGTGGGAAAGAAATAGAACTCGTAGATAGATATAAATACCTGAGACATGAAATTATGATTGGCAGAGATAACCAGACTCATGAACTGAAGAGAAGAGTCGGCCTTGGGTGGGCAGCATTTGGAAAACTGAGAGAAACTTTTAAAAGTGAGCTGCCCACATGCCTAAAGAGAAAGGTATTTGATCAGTGCGTCCTCCCAGTCTTGACGTACGGAGCAGAAACACTTACTTTAACAAGAGCAGCAGCTACCAAACTGAGAGTCATGCAGAGAAGAACGGAGCGGTCCATGTTAGGAATAACTCTCCGAGACAGAATAACATACGAAGACATCAGGAGAAGAACCGGAGTGACTGACATCATCGAGAAGATAGCCAGACTAAAATAGAGATGGGCAGGATACATGGCCAGAATGACAGATGGGCGATGGACAAAGAGGTTATTGGAATGGAGGCCAAGGGAAGACAAGAGAAGCGTCGGTCGATCACCTACAAGATGGACTGACGATTTAAGAAGACTCAATAAAAACTGGATAAGAGCGGCGCAAGATAGACGGGGTTGGAAACATGAGGAAGAGGCCTATGTTCAGCAGTGGACTCTTGAGGCTGGATGATGATGATGATGATCTACCATTTTGTATAAGAAATTATTTCTTTCTACACTTTTCTACTAAAATAATCAGTATGTTGTTTAGTACTACAATTATATCGCATGTTAGTAATAAAAAAAATCATAGAATAGACTGTACCTCCATAAAAAAATTCCCACTTCATTGTGTTTTATTACTCTCCTTCTCAATACAAAGTATAGTCTGTCACAAGAATCAAATGAAGTACTTAAGCAGTTATTAAAATAGTTTAATACCAAGATAATATACAATTTGTTATTATGAATCACCACTATCTGAAGAAGTATCACTATAAGCTGCTGGTCTATTAGAATTATATCTGAGACAAGATTTACTTGGAAGGGTCATTGAACTTTGTGAATGAGACATGCCTAATTCTAAACACTCTTCATTATCTGAACATTGGCAATCATTTTCAGGTTTCCTTTTGGATCTTCTTTTTCCTTCATTATTATTCCTTTTTCTTTTGGTTGAATTTTTGGTTTCTATATGTTCCCTTGTATTTACTCTTTTTCTATGTTTGTTTTCACTAAAAGAATGTTCAATTTTTTCTAATTTAGCTTTTACGCATTGTGTGGGTATGAGATGTATATTTGCAGCTGGACATATTAAAGAGTAATACTTTTTCTTCTTGATCAACAGTCTAGATTCTTGTGCTATGCTCAGAGAATGCTCCAATTGGCTACGAATATCTCCAGACAGGCAGTAGGTCTCTTCCATATGCTTAGCTAGTTCTTCCAAAGAAACTCCGTCAGGTTTGTTGTTTAACGACTGGATCTGTTTAATAGACACTAACATTTTATAAAAGAAACTCGTCCCAATTTTGCATTCTTCAGGACAACATGCTGTCATTTTTATTTTAACATTGAACACAAACTAAACTTCAAAATATTGACAAGTAGTTGACATATTTTTTACGTGTATTGATGATTTTGGTCTTAATTATGTATTTAAAAATCCACTGACGTTGCGAACACTTCTCGATCTTCTGCAACATAAAATCATTGTTCTGTGAGTCCATTCACGAATGTTTTTAAACCAAAAAATCTGTTTTCTTTATACACCTCTACGGTCTTGTATGTTGCCCTTAAGAATTGTAGTATTATTTATCGATTTCTCCTCAATATATGTCCTAGATCAAATATTTTCCGGTCTATAAAAATCTTGCAATTCTCTATCTTGGTTGACCCTCCTTAGTTCTCTTTATTATTCAAGTATCTTCAACATCCGTCCCTGAATGCAATTTGGCTTATGTTTGGTACTTCTGTATCTATGTACTATATAGAGCAGAAGTGGTCTATATAGTTCTAAATCAAGATGGTTATTGCAAAGAAATGTCTTCAAGGATTTTTTATTGGAACAGCAAAGTGCTCACACTTCATCTTCAAGTGCCATCTCCACGGCGGAGGACGGCAATCATCATAGCTATTCGGACTTTTGAGGCTGCTCTGAAAAGTTCATTTGATGTACTTTCGTACCACTCTCTCAGGTTGCGCAGCCACGACATTCTGCGCCTCCCTATGCTTCTCTTTCCTTGGATCTTTCCCTGCATAATCAGTTGGAGCAAGGTGTATTTCTCTTGTAATATGTCCGAGATATTCTAATTTTCTTGTTTTTATTGTATTTAACTCACACTAAGAATCCCAAATGTCCACAGCTGGGGTTTTAATAGACGTTTTAGAACAAATATTAGAGGGTAACTACATCAAATAAGAAACAAAAATCTAAAACCTGTAGTAAAACACAAATCCGTGCCGGTGTTAGTTTCTAAGAAGGAGAGGTTCTGAACTGAGTAGGGGCTTCTTAGTACTTCTTGGAATACACACTCGAAGGGGGGCAGCTCTCAACCCCGACACGGCGCGTCCCAATGGCTGATAGGGAACGTCCTACAGATATGTAGGACAGGTGCGAATAAGGCTTTGCCAAATAAACACCCGCGGATCAACTGAGAGCATGGCATAGGGCAGCAGCTATGTCATTACAGGATCAGAGCGGTAGAGACAAGATCTCTGTATCGGTCTGATACCGGATAGTCACGGGCGGTAATCAAATTATGATTTAACCGGTTGTGATACTGCGGTGCAGAAAGCAACGGGAAACTACTGCACTATATTTTTCCCTAGTAAAGTAACCTATGCAAAACAAAAATTTAACGGCCCCTAGTCCGCGGCAGACCTTAAGTGGTCAGGGGGTGCAAAGAATCCCCGCGAGGAGGAACCACCCGAAAGTGGAATACATTAATAACCAAACCTTGGTACGAATAGGCACTTGGAACGTACAAAGTATGTTTGAACCCGGTAAAGTTCAAAATACCATTCGTGAAATGAAAAGACTTGGAGTGGACATACTAGGTATAAGTGAGATGAGATGGTTTGGTTCTGGAAATGTATCCATCGATGACTACACAATATACTACTCGGGGAACGAACAGCAGAGACACTGGAATGGTGTAGGCCTTATAGTAACAGAGCAGATAAAAAAAAGCAGTAATTGATTTCATACCCTATTCTGATCGAATGCTTCTTTTGAAATTACAGAGTAAGCCCGTAAACATAAACATACTCCAAGTTTATGCACCAACTGCTGACAAGTCGGATGATGAAATAGAGCAGTTCTATGAGAATCTCCAAGAATTACTTAAAATGACAAAGAGTTATGAAACAACATTAATCGTAGGAGATTTTAATGCCAAAGTGGGTTGTGGAAAAGTGGAACATATTTGTGGAAATTACGGACTGGGCAATCGCAATGATAGAGGTGACAGACTACTACAATTTTGCCAGGAGAAACAACTAACTATCATGAACACCTGGTTCAAGCTACCACTACGGAGGCTATATACGTGGAAATCACCCGCAGATAATAAAAACAATTGTGTCCGAAATCAAATCGATTACATTATTATAAACCAGCGATATAAAAATGCAGTAACGGATACAAGAACATACCCAGGCGCAGATGTTCCATCGGATCACAACCTACTAGTGGCTAAATTAAAAATAAAGTTCAAAATGCTAAAAAAGACTGTCAAAAGAAAAACCGACATCAATTTACTTAAACAAGAAAATATACAAAGTATGGTAAAGACTAAACTCAACGAGGAATGTGAAAGACTCCAAAGAGAGTTATCACCAACTACAGAAGGCTTATGGACTGAAGTCAAGAATGCTTTTACTAGCGCCGAGAAATATATAAAAGACACTAATAACAAAAGAAAATCTAAACCCTGGATGACACAAAAAATTCTGGGAATGATGGATACTCGAAGAGCCTACAAAAATAAAGATAATGAAAAATATAGGGAGATACATCGTCAAATCAAGAAAGAAATAGCTACAGCAAAAGAAAATTGGATGATAGAAAACTGCCAAGAGATCGAAGAATTAATAAAGAAACACGACAGTCAAACGCTTCACAAAAAAATAAAAGATCTAGCTGGAATGACAAAACAAAGACTCCCTTGTAGATTAACAAACGACGAGAATGAAACGATATGGGAATTAAGCGATCTAAACAACGTATGGGGACATTACATAGAAGAACTATTCTCGGACACACCACTAAACAACATAATATATAAAAACCATGAAACCAGTCCTCCTATATTAAAACAAGAAGTAGAGAGAGCAATCAAAAACGCAAAAAATGGGAAAGCCCCTGGCCCCGATGACATACATACGGAAGTCATAAAGCTACTGGAAGAGAAACATTTAAATATAATCGTCAAATTATTTAATCAAATATATACAAGCGGTGAAATTCCACAAGACTGGTTAAAATCAGTCTTTATTCCCCTTCCAAAAACTAAGGGAGCAAAGAAGTGTGGTGATTTCAGACTTATTAGTTTAATGTCGCATATGTTAAAGTTATTCTTGAAAGTTATTCACCAACGCATTTATAAGAAATGTGAACAGGATATCAGTGATGAACAATTTGGCTTCCGAAATGGATTTGGGACACGGGAAGCATTAACCAGTTTTATTATACTGCTGCAAAAATGTCGAGACCAAAAAAAGGATCTCTTTTTATGTTTTATTGACTATCAAAAGGCCTTCGACAAAGTAAAACATGATAAGCTGATGGATTGCCTTCACAAAAAGGGACTAGACGAGAACGATTTTAAAATTATCCAAACGCTGTATTTTAACCAAACTGCAGCAGTTAGAACAGAAGCCGGTGACACAGAAATATTCAATATCAAGCGAGGTGTACGACAGGGGTGTGTATTGTCACCACTACTTTTTAATATATATTCGGAAGAAATCTTTGCACGAGCACTAGAGCAATCAAGAGAAGGTGTTAAAATTAACGGCAGAGTTCTAAATAATGTACGATACGCCGACGACACGGTCCTAATTGCAGAGAGCGCACAGGATCTCCAGACACTCTTAGATCGCGTCAGATCGACTGGAGAACAATACGGCCTCAGCATTAACGTCAAGAAAACAAAAACAATGATTGTCTCCAAAACATCCATCCATCCACCCATGGCTTTAAACGTGAATGGTAACATTATCGAAAATGTCGAGAAATTTCGATATCTAGGGTGCTGGATAACGAAAGATATAGATCCAGACATAGAAATAAAATCGCGAATTGAACAAGCAAGAAATGTCTTTTTAAAAATGAAACAAATGTTTACGTCCCAAACACTCAATCTCAAAATCCGATACCGAATGCTGAAATGTTACGTTTACAGCACCTTATTATATGGAATGGAGGCCTGGACCTTCAAAATCAACTCACTAAGGCGTTTGGAAAGTTTTGAAATGTGGTTATTTCGAAGGATGCTGAAAGTCCCCTGGACAGCGCATATGAGCAACGAGCAGGTCCTACACAAGATGGGTACCGACAGAGAACTCTTAAAAATAATGAAAACACGGAAAACCTCATATTTGGGACACATATACAGAAATGAGAAATACCAGCTACTACAGCTTCTTATAGAGGGGAAGGTAGAAGGAAAACGTGGTCCTGGTAGACGGCAGGCGTCCTGGTTGAAGAACATTCGTGAGTGGACTGGTTTGGATTCTCAATCTTTAATAAGAAAAGCCAGGGACAGAAATGATTTTGCTAAGGTTATCGCCAACCTTCATTGAAGACGGCACCCAAAGAAGAAGAAAACGCAAATATCAGAAAATGTTAATCTTAATGGGAGTATCCATAACCATGATCTGGGTTTCGTCTGATGTAGGGATCCCTGGTAACGAACTAGTCAACCTCTTTGCAAAACAAGCTTCGTCTTTTAATATAGAGACTGAAAGCATACAACTACATACAGATTTACAGTCGTATTTTAAAAATATCATCCTAATGTTATATCAAGATCACTGGGATAAAGTCCCGACCAAGCTTCGTGATTTCCAACCCAGCGTTAAAAAGCTTCAGTTTCTTTCCATAATACAAAAAAACAAAATCTTAATTCGCCGACTTGGAATCGGCCATACAATACTAACTCATAAATATTTAATGACTTCCCAAGATCAACAAAAGAAAAAAGAATATTTTAAGTCGATACCTACAAAATATTATCAGCTCGCCAGATCAATTCCAAAACCTTATTAATTTCCTCTATGAAACCAGGCTTCACCAGGAAATTTAGAAGAAGAAACGTAGTTTAGAATTTGATAATTATTAATTGTTCCAATTTTTAATGTATTTCTTTATTGATTGTAATGCTACTGTATATTCTTGTAATGTAATGTAATAAAATTGTACCTGCGTCAGTGACCTACGCTGTCGAGACACCTAAAGCTAAATAAAAAAAATATCAGAAAAATTCGTAATAGAAAAATTCACAGGTAAGAATGTAAACGTTTTACAATGGATGGACATATTTGAAAGTCAATATACTAGATTAGAAATTGATCGAAACCATGGACGTATAAACACAGATGGACTCATTTATTTACATAAAATTGTGTAGTCAAAATTATTTGAATAGGTCACATTCTCAGCACCTTCAACTGTTGTCACGTTTTGTTTTAAAATTTCTTATTCGCGAGTCGCTGAAAATATTACTCCGTATTTTATACTCTACAGGTGCCATCAAACCAAAATAAAATTGGTTAGATTAATATATTTAATTGTAATCAAAATATCAAGTGTGCACATAGTGTGCATTATGATTTAATAGTAGCGTATAATAGATATCAATCAATTATTTTATATGTAGAAGCACTGAAAACTATTTATAAAATGGCAACGGTTGTTTACATTTCCTGTCTTATGGATCTACGTCAAACTTCAAATGCTGTCCATGTTTGTTTACTTTTTACAGTAGATGAGGAAAAGGTGTTTTTTTCGATATTTTGGCTGTATTTTGAGTGATATTTGTAAAAAGTGAAATAAAATAAACGAAATATTTACATCCAGATCTCTCATTTCATTTGTAAGTACATACAATTTACATTATTTAAGATGAAGAAATGAGGAAGCGTGTTTGTTTACATTTTAATAGGCGTACCATTGGGTTTATTCATGTTCATTATTGTATTGAATAAGATATGAGTTCATGAAATTAGTGACATACATGACAAGACATTTTTAAATTGTAAGTAGACATCATCTGATTAAAAAAGATCTGTTTAGGACCTTTTTAATTTAATATTTCTCATGGATACAAATAAATTAGTGAAATAAATAAAACTAATTTATTTTTCTATGTAGGTTTACATAAAGCATAAAACATAAAGATTTTTTATTGTAGCATTATTTTGATACCTATTAAAAAATTAACTTGAATTCAACTATATTTAATTGTATTAATTTTAAAGCAAATAAAATTGTATTTTAATTTTTCTATAAAGACGTGATTTGTTAATAGTTAAACTCTCGTTTTATTTAATTCTTTGAACGTGTTTTTATACATTATTACTACTTTCAAATTTTTAAAATCTGAATAATTACCCGCGAGTAAAAATTCAAGCAAGCTTATGCTCATTGCGGAAGCATCACGTTTTATCGAAGCTTCAAAACATTGTGTGTTAAAGGTATCTTATTGCTGTGTCCGTCTATGTTTATACGTCCATGATCGAAACACTGATAAAATCGAAATTCTAAGATTATTTTTAGAAGGATCATGTGAGGTATGCCATTAAGTTTACTACTCTGCATTACCGGCCTTCTTTTTAGTCTATCAAGTTTTCTTCTTCGTCTGTCAACTGTCAATTCTTTTTCTTTTCCGTAGCTAATGTCAGAACGAGGGATATGACACAAGCATGACAGACGTATTTTGACGTTTGACAATTTAAGTGTTGTGATGTATCATAAAAGGTATTTTAATACATGTAGCGCCATCTTTGTATATCTTTTGTAAACACTCAATGTATGGCGTGTCGCCAATATTGATTATTGAAATAAATCAGAAGTCGTTGCAATCGAACAAAACGTTTGTTATTTCAATGTACCCCAGAAAATCCTCACTTCCACTATAATTTTCAAGATTAAGACTGTCACAAGTGTAGAAACCGTAACGAGCTATATACTGTATTTTATCTACGACGAACAAGTAATTTATTTTTAAAGTTGTTATTGCACTTTCGGTCTCAAATAAGAATATATGTTAGACACAAATTCAGCATTCTGGTCTATGCCTACGAGAATACAAGATAAGGAAAAAATCGCATTTGCAACACAAGAAGACCATTTTGATTGGTTCAACTTAACATAAAAACTCGACTCATCACAACTATCAACCAAAATATACTGAGATATTTTGGACATATAACTAGAAGAAGAGAAGACATGGAACGAATAATAGTTGAAGTTGACGTAGCGGGTAAAAGATTTAGAGGTAGATCTCCAGTACGATGGTCGGACCAAATAAAGCACATAACTAGTTACTCATCCTCCGAAGCAAAACACGCACAGGAGAGAGATAAGTGGACAGAAATAGTCACTCAAATTACATGATGCCACTACATGCTTACGAAGGAGAAAAGATAGAGAGGAGAAAATTATATTATTAAATCAGACTTCTTCTCCTTCTTCTGGTTCCTATCCGTTTCGGATGTTGGAAATCATATTGGCAATCATAACCTTGCTCGCTGCGGCTCGAAACAGCTCCGTTGAGGTTTTCTTAAATTGCGCAGCCATGATATTCTCCTTCTACCGGTTCCTCGCTTACCTTTGACTTTACCTTGCAATATAGACTGTAACAGGGAGTAACGGTGCTGATTTCTCATAACGTGTCCCAGATATTGCAATTTTATGCGTTTGATCGTAAACACAATCTCTGGTTCCTTCTTTATTTTTCCTAGAACTTGCTCGTGATCCTTGCTGTCCATGATATTCTCAGCATTCTTCTATAAAGCCACATCTCAAATGCTTCAAGTTTTTTAATAGTGGTGTCTGTAAGCGTCCATGCATCCGCCCCGTACAACAACACAGAGAAAACATAGCATCTCAAATGTCTCATTTTTGTATCAAGGGATATGTTGTGACTTTTGAAGATGGCGCTCATTTTGTTAAAGACCGTTCTTGCCTTTTCTATGCGGCACTTTATTTCCTGTAAATTGCTCCACTGTTTGTTAATAATAGTTCCCAGGTAACAATACTGTTTTACTCGCTCTATCTGCGTCCCATTAATGTATAGATGAGCCCCGTTTATATTCTCCTTGCTGATAATCATTTGTTTCGTTTTGTGGGTATTAATGTTTAGTCCGTACTGTTGACTGTACTCGTTTATTCTGTCCATTAGCCTCTGAAGTCCCTCTAAACTATCTGCTATCACCATGGTGTCGTCGGCATATCTAACATTGTTTACTCTTTCACCATTTAGAAGGATGCCTTCGTTTATTCCATATGGTATCGGGTAGGTACCCCTCTATGATCCCGATAGAGGGTAGACTTACTTCAGGGAGGTAGCGTCGCTGCCCCCGCGAGCTCCTGGTTTTCCTACATTCCCTAATTAGAGGAAACCAGGTCCAAGCCCCAATATTATCCTACCCAAACCTCAAATTCCTTGCCTATATCCCCCCCACCTATTTCACCGAAGGAATGCCGGTATAAGCAATCCCCCACTTACTGGCCAACGTTTTCGGGCGGATGAGCTGGTAAGTGACAGGGCACTTTTTTGTCCGAGGGTTGGGAAACTGGCCCTAAAGGCGAAGGAACCTCAGTAGAGGTCAACGGCATAAGGATGTAGAAGGCCGAGGACAACCACTACATTAAAGATTCCATTGAATAGTCCTAGTATAAAATCATATTATGGTAATGCTCACAACTAAATACGATTCCGGAGTAAGTTCCCCAATCGGATCCCCGGGGGGGGGGGGGGGACAGTTAGGAATACATATTAAAAAAAAATCAGACTTATATTTGATTAAATCATTTGCCCTTCTCTCGCTGTGTCCATCTTTGTATAGTTATGTCTGGATCTTCTATAAAAATTAGATATGAACTATATATTTTTAAACTCAAACAATCTTTACCAAACCTTAACAAATATCTCAACATTTCATTAACGTAACTGTTATAACCTATTAACGTAATTTAAAAATGTCTTTACACTCTTCTCATACACCTGGCTATTTTGTTGACCGTGCTCTTCATTTAGTTGGTGAAGATATAGTGAACCAGTCTTTGTCCCTATTGCCTAAAATACAAAAAAAAATTAATGCATATTTTATTTTTAAAAGCTTATATTTAATTAAAGAATATGTTACAATATTAAAAGATAATTCATGCCGAATAGGCTCGTGATTTTCAAATTTCAAATTAAATTCTGATTTAGATTTAATATCTTCCCTAAGATAGAACAACTTAAACCAAGGATTTTTACCTGCAAGATCGAGGCCGAGTGAAGTGCCTGCCAATTTGCTCAAAGTATCAACAATCTACAACAAGTGCCTAACCTCCTTATTTTAATTTTAATTTTTTTTTTAATTTTTTGAAAACCAATTCCAGAGTGGAAGTCAAGCCAATTGTGGTTTAATCCCATCTCTTTCTTTTATCATTTCTTAGTTCAATAGCTGTTAGATTTTTCAATATTCCTAATCTTTGTTTCAAGTTAAGAAAATAACATTACGCTTATGGAGATCAGTGTTGCCAAAATTCTCAGGCACTCTCTTTTGCACGGATGTCCAAGATATTCCCTTTGCTTAATTTTTGTATTTTCATTTTCAATTAACATTTAACTGTAAAGTCAGAATAACTACTAAATAAAAGCCTTATTATCATTATGTAGTCAGAGAACGGCATAACATCGCTGACATAGGCACATCGTATTATTTTAAGTTGCAATTAGTAATTAGATATACGCATTCCAAGCGCCCGTTTATTTGCTTTTAAAACTTTAATAGGCGGCAAAATGCATGATTTAACTAAGCAATATTTTCTACTGATTTATATGATTCATGGCATATCGTATTCTCATCGAAAAACAAATAAACTGTCGTTACTATAATTAAAATAAAATAAAATAAAACTATCTTTTGTAAATACTATTTATCTAATTTGACATGGCACTTTTGGTCAATTACGTTAAAAAACATTAATTTAATTCATGTCTGTGGAAACGAAAATACAAATTATACAACCCTAAATTGTGCCTGTGTGTGTCGTGACAACGCCGCGTTTCTATTGTCCATAAGAAATGCATGGCCCTATCTCCGCAATGTTATTTTCTTAACGTGGAACGTAGATTAGCAATCTTTCTCCATTGGTCTCTATCTCCAGCTGCTCTGAGACCTTCGCAGCATGTGTTTCCAGCTGAATTCTTAATTTGGTCGGACCATCTAGTTGGTGATCATCCTCTTGATCTTATCTCCGGAACGTTTATAGAAACAATTAATCTCTCATAGGTCAGCGAATAAGACAGTAGATTTTCTAGGGTAGTCAGAGAGCCACTGATTTTGAAAGAATCCCTTGGTTCATTTCGACAGCCATATTTCACTATCTCTCTGCATATTTGAAGGATGTAATCAGCTTCGTCTTTGCGGTACTGTTTTCTGATTTCTTTCGATAACGCTCTGTATTCGTCGTTTGTTCCGTATTTAGTTTTAGGTTCTTTTCTGCGTTGAATCACAGTCCACGTATTATCGGATATCCACGGCTTACAGCCCGTGGAAACTGCTGCCTTACAGTCTTTTGCAGCCTCGATTACCTTATCTTAGAGATAGATCCAAGTGCTCCCAGGGTCATAATTTACTTGGTCTAAAGAAAGAGCTTTTAATACACAGTATTTAAAGGGTACAATTATTGTGACTCCATTTGTACTTGTGTTATCTGAGCCTGAAAAATAGACGACATTGCCAACAGTTGTTTCAAATGCCCTTTACCTCTCCAGTGAGTTTGTGGTAGTCCTAGTACCGAAGAATTATGGTCTGCCATTTCTTTTTTAGTTATCTATAACTTTTCAGTGTTTTGGATCAGTCCCTGGACGTTCCATGTACCAATTCGCTAACATTTTCTTAAATTGAGTAAAAATTTGGATACAATTTGGAAGAAATGTAGTTATGTCGTCTGTTGGGAAAATAGTGCAGTAGTTTCCCATTGCCTTCTGCATTGCTGTATATGTACCGTTTCTGTGGTTATCATTCTCACTGCATGATCAGTTAATCCCACAGAGACATAATATTTATCATTCCATAAAGTTTCTACGTTATATATTTCGCCAGTATAGCTGTTTTGTTTATTTTATCTTAAAATTTGTCGCCATTATTAATCTTTCGAACATTATTTGTTTTCAAATCGCAATTTGAAAAATTTTGAATATAAAATTGGATACGAAAGAAAGTGAATAATAATATTAACATAAATTAATTTGTACGTTGAAAAATACATATATTAAGTGTTTAGTAGATGCGAAATCCTAAATTAAGAACCGCAAACTTCATAAAAAATTATATCCAACATAAATCAGTACTTTTTTAACAGAACTATTAATTTAACCTACTTGAAGTACAAAATTAACATACCAAATAAGATTTTCCATTTTCTATATCTTCACACACAGGAGATAGCTTCATGCAAGAGATTTCTTCCTGAAATGGAATAGAAAAAACTGGAAACATATCACTTTCATTTAAATCCCAAATATTTATTCTATTTTTGGCATCCTTGGTGTAAAACACTACAGGTTTATTCTTAGACCACTGGATCAAATCGATAGGGCAGTATTGAATGCTGTTGTCTTTATCTGATAAAGTCATTAACGGTTTTTCTGATGATCTTGAATAAATGTTAATGTTGCCGTTCTCGTAGCCAGCGAGAAAATATTCAGACGAAAAAGGACAACTTCCTAAACATTTTGCTATTGACTGTGAACCTGGAAAAATAGTTTATGCTTGCAAAGTTCCCACTGCGAATATTTTATTAAATATAGTCAAACTCAAATCAAGCCGCGATCAGTTATAATAACTTTGTATAGTGTGGTCAATACTTTGGTAATACTCACAGCAAGGTAAGATCTCAAGTTTGAGTAAGTATATTTTTACTATTTTTTTTGTTATTATATTTTGTTTAAAGTGTTTTCAATTGAGCATAAACTAATGTCTTTTCTTATTGATAATATAATTTTTCGAAATTTTATCCTGGTTTTGTAAATTATGCCTTTTATTTTGGTGTTACATATATGTAACGCTAGGAACATATGGGAAAAAAATATGAACTTTTAGAATGGTAACGTATTTTTTCCAGAAAAGGGTTTTCTGAGATGATTGATGCCGATGCATCTTTAGACGTTGATGCTATATATATACTGAACCCCAGAATTTAGTGTCCTTACAGAGGAGGAGTCTGTCGATGAGGAAGATTATGATTTGATTAGGTTGTCCGGGAGAATTCTTAGGGCACCTATTGACTTGTTTTACGAAATGGTGAAAGAGATTCCGAAATATAAAATGATATCCACGAGACTGGATCTTCCAGATCATCAGCAAAAGTTAAAAAACAAGTGAAATAAAAGATGAAGTTTTCCTGGACCAATAGTGATTTGATAAGTTAAAACGCAGCTTTTCCTTCCGCTAATGTTTCATATTTTTCAAACCTTTTCCCAGTTGAAAATTTTTGGAAACTTCTGGGAAATATAATTTCCCATATCACAGATGAGACTAGAAAGTATGCTCTTTTTAAAAACGCCCAAGCTCCAAATATCTCTCTTGAGCAGCTCCAGGTAATATTAAAAGGCAAGATTGAAGCTAAAAGTGGCTTTAAAGAAAAAATCTTGGCTACGAAATATCAGAGATTGGACCCACAGAAGAGGAAATGAATTAATTCATCAAGCCCAGAACAGAGAGAAATTTGCCATATTGATCGCCAATCTCAACAGAGAAGGCACTTAGGAGGAGGAGGAATTAGAGACTATTTCAGATATAACCGGAAGTAGCACATGCTCACAAATAGTTTCATTAAAAAGTTTACTATTCAAAACCTATGCAGCTAATTTTTCAAATTTCAAATCTGTTTAGATTAGCAAATACGTCTAATAGGTCACTCACTGGAAGACGTAAATACCTATATCATTTAAATTTTAAAGCAATTCGGTTAAAATAATTTCTGAATTTATTAGATTACCAAGTAAACAAGAAATGTAACAGATAACAGGCAATATTTCGCCTTAGAAACCAGCGCGTTGGAGCACAAATGCTAGTGATGACTTTACTTATCTGTGGTGATGAGTTTACCGATCTCCAAAGGATGCCGGTGATCAGTTTGCTATATCTCGGAGGGTCTAATAATTTATTGAGGGCTATAAAGTAATAAGTTCTTTACATGAAAGTAGGGATGACAGCGTATTTTAAGAAGCTCTGTCATTGGTCTATTTAAAAAGGACCCCTTACAGCAGGGGCCAGACAAAATAATTATATCCATTTTATTAGTCTCCTCTTCTTGATTTGAATTCGACTGTAAGTTATTTTGTAAAAATTACCTGGAAGAAATTTCCTTACATTACTTCTTCCCCCTTTCACAAGATGGTGAATTATAAAACCATAATTAGTAGATATAAAAAGGTAATTCGTGTTTTGGTGACTAGTGATAAAATCAGTACATTGCAAATCCGGTAAATTGGGATGTAAAATCTTCAAAGATATGTTAGTATTTTTTACTAGAACTACTTCGAGGTTATTTTCAGACTTGTTTTCCTCCAATTGCTTTTTTATAACTGTCCATAGAATTATTTCGCCATCTTCATCCAAGCTACAGAGCTGAAAATTAAATATTAAATGTATCGATATATTTTGTACAGATCTACGAAAACTTGTGATAGAACTTAAGGAAAATAGAATAGAAATAGGAATAAGGAAAATAGAAAATAGAATTAAAAGAAAAAAAGATGCAGTAGGATCGGTGTAGAAGTGATGGCTTCCAGAAAATAAAAAATGTGCCTATATGAAAAAAAAAAACGAATAACGAGCAATTACAAATTGTTTTCCTACCTCATTAGCTTGATTCTTGTAAGTATTTTCCTCGGATGACATATCCAGATGATGTAAGGCTACAATCTTGGTCAGGTGACCAGAATTGATGTCAGTACAAAAAAGAGGTACACTTATTTCTACATTGGACTTACTGAATATTTTGCGCCTTATATCCCATACCAAAATGGTGCTAAAAATCAAAAATAAGTCAAATCAAAAATAATCAATTAAAAAGTAAATTCGGGTTACATTTTCCAAAGGACGTAACTTTATTTTTTTTATGTATTGGGAGGATAAGTAGAAGCTTAAGTTTAAGTTTATGGGGTAGCCACCCTATCGGCCGCCATCTAGGAAAAAATTGTACAAAGGGTTTACTAAAAAAAATTGAATTTGACAATATTTGTAGCAAATTAAATTGTTTACAACTTCATTTTCATTACTTTTAATCTTAAAATGGAAAATAAAAGAGATATAAAGAAAAATTACCAATCATGTTTGAACAAATTTTCTTTTGGGAGTTAAAACTTTTTTCTGGACTTTGGATTGTACAGCGCTCAAAGTTGACCGGGTTTTTGAATACTCTCCATCTTGGAATAAGGCGTTTTTCCCACTGTATCTCCTAAACTAGCAAACTAGCAAACCTTAAAACTTTTTTGAATTTTCACTACGAATTTTTAAATTTCATTATTTTCTCTGGTTTTACAGCACTCCGAAGTTGATCGGATTCTTCAATAATCGTAAGAATACGATAAAAACGAACCTTAGTTTTCTATTATATACCTTCTTATTGATATAATTTATTATTTTCATTAACTTTCCTATAATATTATTATTATCGACATTTTTCCCGACCATCTATGAGCTAGAGTTTGTAGACACGTTTTTTTAAGTGGTATCCCCATTAGGCCTCATCAACGAATAATTTCCAGACGAAATAATATTGAGCATATATATATATATATATATATATATATATATATATATAATATATATATATATATATATATATATTTAAAAAGTTGTTTCCGAGCTATTGTTTTTTCATTTTCTTTTATCGTCCACGCTGATGATCAGGATTGAAGTTGAATTGGCGTCATTGCAGATAATTCATCTTAGAATTCTTAGATTTTTTTATTATTTCTGATATTTCTATGATTTTACTGCTGGGTTCCTAAGGATAACAACCCTAAGAACTACTACAGACCAATAGCCCTACTATCGGCGACATTTAAGCTACTAGAACGACTTATCTACAACAGTATTAGTCCAAAGCTACTAGAATCAAGACTGGTTGATCAGGCAGGTTCTCGACTGAAAAGAGGCTGCGCAGAACAAATTCTTTCACTTACCACATTTATTGAGGCGGTTCCAAAAAAAACTTAAAACTGCAGCCGCATTTATAGCCCTAACAGCGGCCTACGACACAGTTTGGATATACAAGCTCCTCCGCATAATCTCCTATAAACGATTCAAGTAGTCATGAGAACCGACATCAGCACCCCAAGAAAACTGAAGAATGGACTTGCCCTAAGCATCTGTCGTAGCTCTTCTTCTCTTTGACCTGTACATCGCTGATATAGCAGAAACCATATCAAGGAAATTTGGTTACGCCGATGACTGAGTCCTTGCAACAAGGCGTAAGTCATTTAAAGAAACAAAAGAAATCCTCACGGTGGACTTACACACAGTGGGAAAGTATTTCCGTAAATGGAGGCTACAACCAAATGCTACAAAAATAGAGGTTTTTAATTTCCACCTAAATAACAAGCTTGCAACACTCAATATCCAAATACCCATCCAAAAAATCATTTGTATTTTGAGAATGATTTCCGAAGTGAAAATTGAAACGTCAATAAACGTCCTTTAACCTTTAATTGTGGCTTATTCCATTTTAAATAGTAATTACATTTTGTTTTTCAAGATAACAGCTGCGGAACAAGGGTGGCAATTCCAGAAACTTGAACTTACCCTCCCAATGCATCAAAAATGTGTTAAAAAAATAGAATTGGGTCCTTCAAGAAATGCACGCTAAGACCTAAAAAATGTAACAATTTAATGAACTAATTATTTTCTTATAGCATTTGTTATTAAGTTTTTTTTTATTTCTGAGCAAAGCGCTCTGAAGCCTGGAGAACTATAAAAACGATGAGAACAACGACAAAAAACCAAGTCATAATAAATAGAATACCAGAGAACACATGGATAGAGCATTTTGAGAACTTACTAACAGAAAGAAGAGAAAGGTTTAAACAGACAAATGAACAAGTGCAAGTAGAAGGAAGAATAGAACTATCAATAGAACAAGTGAAAAAAGCAGTTAAGGGAATGAAATTAAGACAATCTCCAGGCCCAGGCGGAATACATCCAGAGTTGATTAGATATGGGATCATCAAAACTGCTTGAAATGATCCGAAAATTATTCGAACTGTCACCCACCTTATTTAAAATCTATTTGGACAGATCCTTAGTGAAATGTGTAAAAAAAATGTAGAAACATGGGAATAACGGTGGAAGAAAACACGCTATATACACTATTTCTTTGCGGATGACCAGGTAGTAATTGCCGAAGATAGCTACGATCTTAGCTATATGGTAAGAAAACTGCAAGAAGAATATGAGGTGGCAGGTCTAAACATGAATATGACAAAATATGAATATCTATCAGTGGGAACAGATGAAATATGTGACCTAGTCTTGGAAGACGACAAAATCAAAGGCGTACAATCCTGCAAATATTTGGGGATTTGGTCATTTTTAATAAGAAGGGAAATAGCGCAGATGAAATCAGGGAAAGAATAAACAAGGGTAGAGCAGCGACCCGTGCCATAAACTCTCTTCTCTGGCAAAAAACAATTCGATGAGAAACCAAAAAACACACTTACGGTAGTATAGTCCAAAGTATTACACTTTACGGTTCGGAAGTATGGGACGTCACCAAAGCTAATAAAAACAAACTTATGACGACAGAAATGGATTATCTGAGACGAAGCTGCGGTAGATCAAAACTAGAAAGAGTTAGGAACGAACAAATAAGAAACGAAATGAAAATGGAGCGAAATATCAATGATGACATAGAAAGAAAACAATTAATCTGGTTCGGACATGTTAAAAGAATGCCAGAGTACAGATGGCCTAAAAGAGTACTGGAATGGATCCCTACTGAAAGAAGAAAGAGAGGACGACCACGGAGAAGTTGGCGCAACGATATTGATGAAGCAATGGCGGCAAGAGACTTAGAAGAGGCAAATGCGTATGACAGAAAAAGATGGAATTTGGGGGCGGAGAAGCGGCGACAGCCGTAATCAATCCGTTATATTATTATTATATATTAAGTCTTTTTTATTTATCCTATACAAATATAAGAGATTTAAACTATTAATAAATTAGTCTTACCCATCATCTATGCCCATAAAAATTAGCTCAGAGTGTCTAACTCCCAAAGAACAACAGCTTACAATACCATAAGGTCTTAATATAACCTCTGCTTCATTACAGTTAAAAACATTCCAGAGGGCTACCACACTTGTCCGCTTCTTTGTATGGACTGTGACCAACCTATTACTAATATCACAGGAAAAATATACAGAAGATACTTCACTGCCTGCAAAAATATCTTCGCTTGTATTAAATTTATAGTAACCATCGCTAAATGGTGACGAGTTCTTATCTTTCTGCAGAGAACTATTGACATTTGTTACAGATTCTTCTTGGATTCTTAACATCAGTTCCCCAGCTGACAAAATGAACCTATTTAAAGAGTTTTCATTGATAGTTGTTTTATCTGTATTACGTGAGACAATATCATCACTACCGACGCCTAAAAGATTTAAAACAAAATTTAAGCACTCACAAAGTAAAGTGCCACACTTACCTAAACTGATATATAAATAACAAAATAATTGGCACACTTACCCAAAAATTCACTTTTGTAAACTTCCCAAAAATTGGGAATAGACTGATCAAAATTTGTGAATGCAGAAGGTTCTTGAGTCCACTTCGTCCTATAACCAATATCGTCGGTTTGAACCTCTTCGTCTACGTCGTCATCTCCCGTTTGACAGAAAACTTGAATCGTATTTCCTCTTCCATAATTCTTTATGAAGGTTTCATAAGGAACAGGAGCTAACTCAAATAAGGTAAAATTACAAGAATCTAGTCTTATCATGCTAAGAATTTCTTTTCCTCGTTTTCGTTTGGTTTCTATACTTTTTCTACGTTCGTACTTTTTCTTTGCATCTAAGAAGTTTATAAATTGTAGAGATTTTTGTTCCTCGAAACCCTCGTCTGATAAAGAAGCGGGGTTGTTGTTGTTGGCTAAAACTAAATTTGTATTTTCTTTTTCTATAGATTCTTTTATATTATCCAAAATCTGTCTATGTTTAAAGTCAGCCATTTCAAAATGACCTGAATCATGTTTTCGCTCTTCATCGCTACCTGTAGACTGCACTCTTCTTTGACCAGAACCGGTTTCTTTGGTCTTGAATTCTTCTAAACTCGTCGTTGACGAGCTACTGCTGGTGTCTTCTACAGAAATGTTGTCTAAGTTGGTCGAACTCGAAGATGAATATACTTCAAAATCTGATTCGTATGATTCAAAATCATCTTCGTATTTATCTAAAAATATCGATATATAAAAATTGGTTAAAGTAATGAATTGGTTCAATACAAAGAAATATTGATAGACTTTGCAGCATCCTACAACCTACTAATAAAATCGACAATGTTCGAACGCAAGAAAATACACAAACAAACATGGGTCTCCAACGACGGCGTCACAAGAAATCAGATCGATCATGTTCTAGTAGATGCCAGGAGGGTAGTAACTGTCTAGACGTAAGAAGCCTAAGAGGAGCTGATGGAGACACGGATCATTTTCTGGTAAAAGCGAAGATAAGGACAAGAATAGCGTCCAAAAAACACACAAGAATACAACACAATTATGGAATACCGAAGTTCTACGTAATAAGGAGATAGAACAGAAATTTCAAAAGGCTATAAAAATCGCTCTAACACAGACAGAAGACTATAACAACATAGACTCAGCTTGGAAAAATATCAAATTAGCTCTGACAAGCGTATCAGATGAAATACTAGGACACAAAAAGAAAACAACAAAAAAATGGTTCGATGATGATTGCCTGAACTCCATAACAGCAAGAAATATGGCTAGAAGGAACATGCTACAAAACCCCTCGCACAACAACAATGAAATGTATAGACAAAGAAGAACAGAGACAAGAAAACTAATGAAAAGGAAGAAGAGAGAGTATCAGGAACAAATAATCAGAGATATAGAAGAAAAAAGAAACAACAAACAAGCGAGACAGTTCTTCAAAGGAGTTTCAGATATCAAGACCGGGTACCAAGCAAGAACAGGAAACTTCCTTCAAAACGACAGTGGACAGCTTATCACGATGACAAGGAAATCCTAAAAACCTGGAAGGAATACTTCTATCAACTATTGAATGACCAATCTAGCAGAAATACATCAAACATAGAGGTACATACAGCTGAAATAGAAGACCAATACCCGACATACGAAGAAGTAATACAGGCAATTAAAAAACTTAAAAATAATAAGACACCAGGTAGCGATGGTATACCCGCAGAGTGCTTAAAACATGGAGGAGAAGCGTTGTACAGTTCTATATACAAGCTAATTCAAGACATTTGGCGAGAAGAAACAATGCCAGATGAATGGAAAGAAGGGGTTATTGTACCAATACACAAAAAAGGAAACAAAAAGCAATGTATTAACTACAGGGAATAACACTCCTAAACACCACCTACAAAATCCTTGCAAACATCCTGCTAGAAAGAACCAAAACATACACAGAAGAAATCGTTGGAGATTATCAATGCGGATTTAGACCGGGCCGCTCTACTATTGACCAGATATTCACAATAAAACAGATAATGGAAAAATGCTGGGAGTTTAATCGTGAGCTTCATCAGATGTTCATTGAATTTAAATAAGCATTTGATAGAGTATGCAGGACAGACTGTGGACAGCGATGCAGGAACTTGGCTTTCCAAAAAAACTAGTCAGGTTGATACGGATGTGTATGGAACGGGTACGATGTAAGGTGAGAGTTGGACAACAATACTCGGAGACATTTGAAATAAACAATGGACTAAAACAGGGAGATGCACTTTCACCACAACTCTTCAACTTAGCTTGACTAATCAGAAGTGCACGAATCGAAAAACCGAATACAGTATTTCATCGACAAGGACCAAACTTACTACTGGCATTTGCAGACGATATCGATCTAATAGGAAACACACGATTAAGGATTAATGAGACTTTCGTGAGGTTCGAAAAGGAAGTAGAAAAGATGGGGCTCCAAATCAACGAAAACAAGACGAAATATATTGTTACGATTTTAAATGTTATGGCGTATAGAACTGTAAATATTTTATGACTAATTCTTTTTTATTGATTCTCGTAATTTTTAGGTCAAAAATCTACCTGACACCCTTTGGGTCCCTTCGCTAAAAATGAACAACAATCAAACTTTCTGGGGACGAGCCGATGAAAAACATACCAGTTTTGAGACCAGTCCGCTGCTCTGTCTAGTCGAGAATGCCATCGAACCTTCGCGATGTTCCATTTTAACACCTGATTTCATATAAATAACGGAAGATTTTCATTGAGCAGAAAGTCAAAAAGAAGATCGCGATTTCGCGTTAAATTGTAACGAACGCAAATAAATTATTTGTAGTTATTAAGTGTAAAATAAATTAGTATAAAATAAAGACTTTTGATAAATTATCGTGAGTTTTAATAAATTAGAATAAAGACAATAAATTAGGACTAATAAAAGCATTATAATATGTATATGAGCCGCAATAACCAAAGCAGAGACAGAATCGGTCAGAACATTACCATCGATGACTTTAACTTTGAGCGCATTAGAGAATTCAAGTATCTTGGAACAACAATAACTGAAGACAATAACGGATCACAAGAAATAAACAACAGATTCAGACGACGAAACAGATGTGTTTTTGCCCTCTAAAACCTTATAAAATCGAAACAACTAACACGACGTACGAAGTTACAGGTCTATAAAACAATTATATGACCCGTTGTGATGTATGGAAGCGAAACGTGGACGATAACAAAGGCAAACGAAGAGAGACTATGTGTTTAGGAAAGAAAAATCCTAAGGAAGATCTTTTATTCTGTGCTGGATGAAGCATCAGGACAATATAGGATAAGAACTAACAAAGAACTCGAAGAACTTTACCCAGACGCCAACATCATAAAAGAAATAAAGTCCTGAAGAGTCCAATGGGCAGGACACCTCAGAAGACATTTTAACGAACGAACAGGAAGACTGGTGTGGGAGGAAGTCCCAACTAGAAGGAGACCACGCGGACGCCCTCGTTTCCGGTGGCGAGGTAATAAAGCAGGAGACCTAAGCACTATGGGCGTGGAAAATTGGATGGAGGTTGCTCAAGACAGAAAACAATGAAGGCATGTTGTCGAGTTGGCTAAAACCCACGAAGGGTTGTAACGCCACGGAGTAAGCAGGTAAGTATAAGTAATGAAAAATTGCCATATGCCATTAGATTCAGACTATGTAAGTACTGTCAAATCATTTTCCATTTCAATCTTCATTGCCACTTTTGCGGTACGAGAACGGCCTTTGATTCATGCATTGCCATTGTGCATTCGAAAGATGCCACAAGACAAATATATCACTGAGAACTTGTAAATGGAAACCAAATAGAACGAGGAAAAGAAAACGTCCTAGATTCCGATAAATAAAAATAGCACTAAAGAAGGTATAGACGACAAGTAATAGAAAAGAACCATTGACAACAATAAAAGTATGAAAGTATTGGGAAAAAGACTAAGAACGGGGACAAGGCAGATAATAAAGGTTAAAGATAAAAATAGTCATCTTACAATCTACAGAGAGGAAACCCTTAAAATAATTGAAGACTTTTACAAATTTCTGTACACAAGCTGACGCAAATAGTAGAGACGATCAACTACAGAAGGTAAACGAAGAGATGGCTTAAGTAGAGGCTGAGGTTAGACAAAATAAGTAGAGGAAAACTCCCTATTCGTTGGACTGACGATCTCAAGAAAATTGTCACGAAATCGAATAAAAATTGCTTAAGATAGAGCACAATGAACAAAAATGAGGGAGGCCTATATCCAGTAGTGGATGAGTGGACGCAAAGGGCTAGATGATGATAAGTAGAAAAGCTCCAGTAGAAAAAAAATGTGTGATGTAAATACATACCTTCTTCCGAAGTCTCAGATTTCGGACTGAGCGATTTTAATTTCGTCATCTTTTCTTTAATCGTATCTATCCGAACTTGAGGTACATCAGGGCCGACGATATTAGTATTGACAATACTTCCCTTTCTTAAAGTGGCAGTCTTTGGTCGTTCAGATATCGTGCTTGAATCTGGTGATGTATATACAGATTTATTTTCTTCCAGTGAAGGATACTCTGACGATCTATTATCAGAAACTGTACTGTTAACGATATTGGAATGCGCGGGTTTGACCAATCTTCCACTAGGTTTGTCTTGACTTCTTTTTTCGACAGTCTTCGTTGGTTTTGAACTTTCAATGGTTTTGGATACTTTCTTTACAGTTGGTTCCGTAACTTTTTTAGCAGGTTCTTTAGATTTAAGAGCGTTAGAGTACATGTTCTTTGAAGGAAAAAACTGAGAAGTAGCTACTCTACTACTAGACGGCGTTTCAGGCACTTCTGGTTTTCGTTTTTTCGGCATTGTTGACTTGACGTCTGGTTTTGATTTTGATTCGCTACAATTAAAAAATATTAATTTTTTCATTTCATTTATTTTACACTTGTTAACAACATTATTCCTATTTTTACATTGTTTATTTGAGAAATATTGAAGTTTATGTCATTACTTATTGATTGATAACTAAACTTTCAGTAAGTCGCCAGGAGATGTCCTAAGTTTTAATATCAACATTAAAATTAAATCACACCATTCAGTATCCGGTCTAAGATCCGACCACTGAAATCTGTAGGTTTTTTTGTTGATAAAGCTTAATTTTTATGACTGATAAATGATACAGAATAGATTAAAGTAGGGTTGCCTAACAAAATTTAACCATAATTACCTTCAAGAAAATATATTGTAATTAGTTTTTGTTGAAATATCCCAGATACACGTTTTTAAGTGAATCTAACGTTATTGGAAAGAGAATAATGTAGGGAGCAGAAATCAAACGGTTAACGGCACTGGTAGTCCGCAATATATGGGTTGCCAGGTGTAAACTAGTATCTTATTATTAATTGTTTTACAATTATAGTAATATCAGGAAGTCATATCAAGAAAAGATCAATCAATTACTGACTATAGTATTGTGCAAAAAAACAGAGAGGAGCTGGAGAGGAGACGTAAGGGTGAGGAGGATCTATGAAACAGGCAGTGACTACTACCTACTGGAAACTACATTTAATATTAAAAAAATTGAAATAAAAAGTACAAAGGACCAGAATACAAGGGAATAATTAAAATACAAAAACTAAGAAAAAAACAACAAGGAAAAGTTACTGAAGAAAACGGACAAAGAAGAAGAAATGACAGAAATAGTAAAAAAAGAATGGAATAGAATTAGAAATACTATATAAAAAATAGTGCAAAACTAGTTTGTGTGACAACAAGAAATAATATAGAGGATTACATGGTATAATAAAGACATAATAGAAATAAAAGACAAGAAGAAATTGTGGAATAGAATATAATAGAATAGAATAAAATACATACAAAAAAGGCAACAAAAATTATGAGTTAATTACTATTTAACTGGGAATAAGCCACAAATAAAGATAAAAATACGTTTATTGACGTTTCAATTTCCACTTCGGAAATAGTAACTAATTTACAATACCACAAGAAAATAGCTTCAGAACAATATTAAAAAATTATGAGATACAAAATATAGAAAATAGAAAACACAATGAAAAAAATGGAAAATTGTTTTACAAAACACTAAACATCAACAAAGCAACCTTATTTACGGATCATAAGAAAACACTGAGTAAACAACAGCTATACATGAAGAAGAACTGGAGGAACAATAGAACAGATAAAGACTGAGAAAGCTCCTGGGAGTGCTATAGGAGAAAAAGTAAATATAAGATTATTGTACACCCTAAATCTAATATCGTGGTTACAAAAAGTTTTGCCAACTTAACCTGAAAATGCAGCTATTGTTTTAAATAATGGATCATACGGCAGTAGGAAATATGAAAAATGGCCAACCAGTGCCACGCGAAAGGCTGATATTCAAACTTGGTTACGACAAAAACATATTCCATACACTCATGATATCATCAAGGCAGAACTGTTAATATTGGTGAAAGATTATCCTATAGAACAAAGATATGTGGTAGACGAAATGATTAATCTTACAGGTAGATATGTGCTGAGGTTGTCACCGTACCATTGTGAGTTAAACACCATCGAATTAATTTGGGCGCAAGTAAAGGGCGAAGTTGGGGAAAAAAGAGTACATTTAAATTTATAAGACTGATCCAGGTCTGACCTAATAACTATTAAAACTAATCCAAAAAATAATAGAACAAAACAAAATTCCTTAAGAATGGAGATCAAGTAACCTAATACTTCTCTTCAAAAAGGGAGACAAATCGGATCCGAAAAATTACAGAGGAATTAATTAATTAAATACAAAACTAATATTAACAACCGAAGTGATAACAAATAAACTGAATGAAATTATACCCCTAGCAAAAGAACAACAAGGTTTTAGGTTAAGTAGATCACGCACCGACGCTACATTTATAATGAGGCATGTGTAAGAGAAATCATTAGAATACAACAAACCGCCATATCTATGTTTTGTAGACCTTAAAAAGGCATTTGACCGGGTCAAATTAAAGGACGTTATCCACTTATTGTACGCAAAAAGATACCTGTAGGAGTAATCACAACGATCAAAAATATCTACCAAAACAACACAATAAAAGTATAAGTAGAAGAAAAACTAAATGACACTATTGAAGCTGGTAATGGGATAAGACAGGGAGATGCCCTGAATCCCCTATTGTTCAACCTGTTTATGAATGAAATAATAAAAAAAGTAAAATCTAAAAAAGGATACCAAATGGGAAAAAACAACTTAAAATAATCTGCTATGCAGACGACGCAATACTACCCTCTAAAAGTGATGATGATTTACAACGTATGCTGCACCAATTTAATATAACTGTTGGAAAACCAACTAATTCTTTAGTGGTAGTAGTATAGTAAAGTAGTTTTTATAATTTAACCTAACGCCGCCTCTGTTCCTGAATATCACATGTTAACCTTTATTAGTAAAAATAACCAGACATCCTCAGCGTATTTGACGCCTCCCATACACCCGTTTACCCTTTGTCCCTTTGTCCAAGCTAGTCACATATTACATATAAGCATAAATTCAGTCGAATTAAGTAGCTCAAGTCAAGAAGTCGCTAAAGAAGTTATTCTCTCTCCTCGTTTCTCTCTCTCTCTCTCACCCGTATCACACAACAAGATATATTACAAGTTATATTATAAGTTAGTTTAGTGTTGCAAGGTGTATATATGTAAAGGATTGTGCAAGCAAATAAAGTAAAGATAAAAAGGTGTAAGTGTATAATTTCACCCTCACAAGAGTAATAAAACGAATCAGCAACACACGCTTAAATCCTGTAACAAATCAAGACAGGTCACCACGAGGGTTTGGTGCTCTCAGGGAACGTTGGAAATAACCCTATCGTTTCCCTTTAATAACCTTCAGATTATTTAACATTTAATTTCTCCAAAAAAGACAAAATGCATGGTTATAACAGCAAACTTATTAAGATGTAAGTTGGAGCTGGAAGGTCAGATAATAGAACAAGTGATAGAGTTTAAATATCTAGGTATCACATTATCTAGCTACGGAAAGCTCGAAACTGGAGTTGAAGATCAAGTGAACAGAAACGTAGGTTGCCTGAATAAAGCAATATGGAGAAATAAAAATATCGGAAAAGAAATGAAAGTTATCAGACCAATAATGACATACCCCAAAGAAACACGACCTGGCACAGAGAGACAAAAAGAAACAGCAGAGATGAAAACACTTAGAAAAATTGTTAGTAAGACACTATGGGACAGAGCTAGAAGTACATATGTACGATGTAGATGCAAGGTGGACAACATCAAGAACTGGATAAGAAATAGAAGAGTAGAATGGAACGATCATATTAGCCGAATGGCAACGAATAGAGTAGTAAACAAAAGAAAGACGATTAGTAGGAAGACCACGACAATGATGGAACTTACACTGAAGGTACATTAAAAAACAGACAGAGTTTTGCCTTCCTGAAAAGAAGAAGAAGGAGAAAAATTATGCGAGGTACAAGTATTGTTCAACCAAGCCTTAAATATTGTAAAGCTAATAATTGGTAAAATGATCTCAATCATGTAGATGGCATTATATCCAAGATGTGACAATTAGATTTTATTCTTGACCAGCAATTAGTACCTATTATTATTAATTTAGTTAACAATGATTTTCATCGGATGATTCTGATAATAATTTAATTACTGCACCAGTTTAAGTAAGATCCCAAATTTTGTTCACAAAAAAAAGCACCATTAGGAACAGTCTCTTACTTTAGGCATCCCACAGAACAATCTTATAGGCCCTGTGTTATTTATTTTTTATGTTAATGATCTAGTTATGAATATTATAAAAAAGGGGACAATATTCATCTGGTAAATTTTACTGATGACACAAGTATAATTGGTCTTAGATCTTCTGGATGTCGGACGTCTTTGAACCACCTTCTGGATATTGCAAACGATATTTTGGAGGAGGCTCAGATGTGGTTCAATATGAACGTACTGAAAGTAAATCAATTGATTTATTGATAATAAAATCCAAAAGTTAGGGTGAATACTCAGTTACTTAAAATAAATAAAATTCGTGCTGAGGCTTCAACTTGTATCAATAAAAAAATTAACATCAGAAATAAAAAACACTGAGCATGTACAGAATGGCTGCTATCGATCTTTGTTCCGCTACCAAAAACCAAGAACCCCAAACACTGTAATCACTATAAATTAATAAGCTTAATGTCACATTTATTAAAAATATTTTTAAAGATTATACATGCAAGAATATTCAGAAAGTGCGAAGCGGATATGAGTAATAAACAGTATGGCTTTCGTAACGGCTTCGGAACAGTGGAAGCTCTGTATAGTTTCACAACTCTTAGACTATGAGAAAGTTTTCGACAAAGTTAAATATAACATTCTTATGGAATGTCTAAAGAGAAAAGGACTCAACAAAAACGGCTTTAACATAGTGAGAAATCTCTATTGGAACCAACAGGCTGTGTTAACATTAGATGGAAATAGCACTGATGCGCAACAGATAAGTAGAGGAGTGAGACAGGGATATGTACTTTCACCATTACTATTTAATACATATTCCGAAGAGTTATTTATGCAAGCACGAAAAGTAAACAGAAGGGTCAAGATAAATAATGAAAATATAAATAACATCCGTTATGCTGAGGATACAGTCATTATCGCTGAAAATGATACAGATCTGTAGACGTTACTAAACACAATTTGTGATACTCGGGAACAGTTTGGTTTAACAATAAACATAAAGAAGACAAAACCCATGATTATCAGTAAGAGGTGCAAAGCCATTACAAGGATCCAGATAAAAAATGAAGATATTGAGCAAGTGGACAAAATGAAATACTTAGAAGTCTGGAACCGAAATTTGCTCAAGAATAGAGCAATCACGAGCAGTCCTTTTTGAAGATGAGGAAATTTCTGAGTAACCAAAATCAATCTGCAAATCCGATATCGGATGGTAAAATGTTATATCCACTCTATTCTTCTTTATGGTGTCGAAACTTGGACTGTTAATGTTGACTTAATGAGAAAACTGGAAGTTTTTGAGATGTGGCTTTTTAGGAGAATTTTGAAGATGAATAAGAAGAGGCAGAGATCTTTTGACCACCATTAAAAGGCGAAAGACAGCACATTTGGGGCACATACTTAGAAATGATAAGTACGAGTTGTTGCAGCTGATTATGAAGAGTAAAATCGAAGGAAAAAGAGGTCCTGATATACGACAAATATTTTGACATTCGTGATTGAACTCTTAAGAAAAGTAGAAGATAGAGACGAATTTGCAATATTTATTGCCAATCTTCATTAGTGGAGACGGCACTAGAAGAAGAGGAAAGTAAATCGGGAGAAAACTAATTATATGTGGATATTTGATATATACGGACGTATTTTTAGTGGATAAAAACTATTACCTTGGTTTAACTATTTTTTCCGAAATTTTCGGTCGTACGCTTGTTTTTAACTTGCTCTTTTCCGATGATTGCAGTTCCATTTTCTTCTTCCTGTCTTTGCTATTTTCTCTAACCTTTGATGAAGTTGTGGATGTTGTAGAAGGCACCTTTTTGGTTGTTTTGGTTGTTGTGGACATTTTCGCCACATTCTAAAACAGTAAATATCTTTTAGACAATAATAAAGAATTTAGCTACTAAATATGTTTTGTCAATTTTTTTCTTTAGACTCATTAATCCATCATTCGACCTAATATTTTACAATACAATAAGATCTTTCATTTCAGAACTTTCTTAGGCAATATTTAAAACTGTAATAAGTGTATATAGTTTATTAATAGTACATTTAAGGATGGTCATGTTATTTATGTATATTTAAGGTCCTTTCGAGAATTGTATAAATCATATATTTTTTTCCTTGATACACAAACATACAATTAAAAATATTGATCCCCAAATCGACATACAAAAAGACGTATTACATTTAAATTTATAAACACACATTGTTTTCTTATTTTTTCCGCAAATCTAGTGGGTATTATTCTCAGTTACTGTAAATATCTAAAAACATCAAAAAATGTTGGCTTACTTACCTTTCTAGTAGACATTAACAAATTACAATTGAGACATTAAAAAAATAGAACACAGATTTGACAGTAAGAATTGTGTCATTCTTATGATACCAACAATATAATAACAAGGCTGTGTAGCGTAGAAATAATCGATAAAGTGGTGTCCATGGCTCGTTGCCATACAAACAAACACGAATGTGTCGTGGCTTTTTTATCGAGAGTATAAAAGGTTTAAAAGCTTAAATTTATTATAAATACTTAGTACTGACAGAATTAGGTAAACATTAGATTGACATTAATGTGATAAAAACAATTGTAAAAATGTCAACTTTGCAAATAAAAAAAAATTAGCTCTCGACGTATTTATCTAACAAATGTCTCATTTGACGACATTTATCCTTCTTTTTATCGTGTGATATTTTCAGTTGTACTCGTATGATAGGTCATGGGGTCTGTCAGCAATTTTGCTAGATCAGGTCACATTGTCGCGAAACTGGTTAACTTTGTACGACCAACGACCAAGCCCGAGTGAAAACATAAAGCTCCGCTTGTAAAGTATACAAAGAAAGATCAAACCATTATAAAATAAAAAAAAAAATGCTACAATAGGCGATATAGTAGAGCATCCCGAAGCTTTATACTATGTTTTTTATATTTTTAAAATTTATATATTACTATACAAAATTAACGCACCACCTAAAATGGACCATGATTTTGAAAGTATGTTTCTTTTGAACCCTTAATTATTTGTGAATATTATATGTGAATATTTGGACGACGTTGGAATACAAATTATGAACTGGCCACCCTGCAGCCCTGATCTCAATCCCATAGAAAATCTGTGATTATTGATCGTCAACACAGGAGCTGGCTTAAGAACTTAAGGGAATGGTTTGAATGCAGCAGTGCAGAACTTTTTAGAGCGGCAGTCAACAGAGTCCGCATACCTCTGATGATTTTCAACCTTCGATAGAAGATGCAACTTAAAGATGTAACTAAGGAGCCGACAACCACCACCTGTCCCTCTTGACGACATAGAAGTTAGGGTAAGAGAAGTTTGGAATGCAATTGATCAAGACCAAATACGCCGCTTGATTTTAAATATGCCTCATCGCTGTGAAGAAGTAATTAGATGTAGAGGTGGAAATACTCGTTATTAAGTGTTTTTGGGAGAGGGAATTGTTAAAGATTATTTGGGTTATGTTTTCTTAGGCTTTATTTGTATTAAATGTTAATAAAGATTATGTAAGTAATGTTTTCTTTGCTTTAAATGTTAATAAAAAGTTGTTTTATTTAAAATTCTGTGCAATCTTTAATAATAGAGATATCAAAATAATTTTTTTACAAAAATATTAAGAAAGGATAAATCTGTCTTAAAATATTAATAAATCAAACTCCAATCCTTCGTCCAGAAGAAATATAGCTTCAAACTTATGGTACATTTGAGGGGGTCCGTTAATTTTTGGTAGTAGTGTATAATATTTTTAAAACTGAATAAAGTAATTTTACTATGTATTTATTATTTATATACACACATACATTCAGGAATTCTACAGTGTTCACTGCCTTTCCTCGCTCAACTGTTTCCATATCTCTCTGTCCCGTTCTCCATCGTTTAGGCCTCTCTTACTCATGGCGTCATCTACTTCATTCCTCCAGGATCTTTGGGGTCATCTTCTTTTCCTTCTACCTATGGGGCTCCATTCGGTTATCCTCCTTATCCATCTGTTGTCGTTAGTTCTTCTTACATGTCCATACCATTTTAGTCTTTTTTGTGCTACATATGTTAGCATGTCTGTTTCTATTGTTGTTCTTTGCGTTATTTCGTCATTACTTCTTCTATCCATTCTTGTTACTCTGCAGCATCTTCGCATGCATTCCATCTCTGTTGCTACTATCTAACTGCTGTTTTTCTTGTTTATAATACAATTTTTAGCTCCAAAAATGTCATAATACTTCGCACTAATGTTCGTTCTCTGTCCATCCATTCGTCTTCTTTGATTGCTCTATCTCTCATTAGGTGTCGTACATTTTTTTTCCAGGCAACTGAAGGTCTTCCCCCTTTTCTTCTTTGTTGTGGTATGTAATTTAAAGCTTTCTTTGGCCATCTATCTTCATTCATTCGCTTCACGTGACCATACCACACTAGTTGTCTCGTTTCAATTCTGTCTACACTGGAATATACAGTATTTGTCCTCCTTCTAATATCTTCATTCCTGATATGATCTTTTTTGGACACACCACACGCTCTCCTTAGAAAATCCATTTCTACTACTTATATTCTTTTTCTATCTTTTTTCATGATCTGCCAAACTTCTGCCCCATAAGTCATAATAGGCTCTACCAGGGTTCGATATATTGTCAATTTTGTTTCTCGTCTAATATCTTTAGACTATAGTAGAGAATTTAGAATCTTCACCGATTTTTTTCCCTACTGCGTTCTGTTTTCCATGTCTCTTTTGATAGTGCCTTCTTTAGATATTATAGATTCAAGATATTTATCCTACCATCCTGTAGCAGAGATTGAAGGAAAAATTGCGGTTACATAGTAGGTTTAAATTTGAGAAAAGCTTGTCTTGCTTGTTCGGTACGGCATTTTATTTCTTGTGGAAGATTACGTTTACCTTTATTCCACATTCAGAGATTGAAGTGCATAGGATACAAAATACACCCCTGCCGCACAACTCTTAAAATTTAAAAATTCTTTCGTGTTTGTTGATTTGTTCAGTCTCACTCGTGCTTTTTGATTCCAATAGAGATTCTGGATAACTCTTATATATTTCTCGTCAATGTTAGCATTGTGTAGCATTTTTATCATTGCGTCATGTTTCACCGGTTTCACGCTTTTTCATAATCGAAGAATGTTTTGACTTTCGTAGATCCATGCAGTTTGTACAAGCGTATTCAAGCAGAAAGCTGCTTCACGTGTACCTAGTCCGCTCTTTAAACCAAATTGAGTCTCACCGCCTAGATCTTCCAGCTTTCTGAACATTCTTGTGTGAAGGATGCGAAGAAACACCTTAAGCAAATGGCTCATTAAACTTATTAGTCTGAAGTCTTTGCATTTTGTCGCTCTTTGTGATTTAGGGATGGATCATTATAAAGGTTGAATAAAGCCAAACCGTTGGAATGTTCCCGGTATTATAAATGACATTGAAAATTGTTACAGAAAAGTAATAATATTTCATTGCGTTAATACATTTATTTAAACATACTTTTTAACAAAGTCTGCAAGAATCAACCATGTTCAAAACCTATGTTCTAAAACTGACTTGTGCCTAGAGCCCCGTGACCGTAATCATAACCTACTGATATGACATATTTCCCCTTACATTTGATAGTCCTTAAAACGCACTGGAGCCCTTTTGAGTCTAGCGCTAGTTCTATTTTCAGCATTCATCTGGGAGGTTAAAGGTTTCTCTACTCCACAACTCTGATTTCCAGATGAAGAGTTTAATGATCTATCATTATGTGCAAAATCAGTATTCTTCTTAATTTCCGCTTCAACTAGGGAAGGCCTCAACTGTTTCGCCTGACCACTTCCCCATTTTCTTTCTGCACTAAATAAGATCTGAGTGCCTCATCTACTTTTTCCAGAATTTTACCTGGTCTCCATTCTCTACCCTCTCTGATACCTACATTCTCGCCTGGCACTACTTCTCTTCTTACCTTGCTGTTTCTATCATAATAATTTTTATATTCGTTTCTTTTTGCCTCTAGTTTCTCCCACTCTTCCTTTAGATTTATGTCTTTGTGCTTTTTATTTGATGGTAGCTTCGATCTAAGAACCCTGTTAGTCACTAATTGGGCCGAAGTCATCACACTTTCTAAGCATGTTTTTTGCAATTTGAATGGCTCGTTCTGCCTGCCCGTTAGACCGTGGATAGCGGGGACTATGTCATATCAATAGGTTATGATTACGGTCACGGGGCTCTAGGTAGAATGTATGATTTATCAGTTCTCTCAACAATTACCAGATTACTAAGCCACTGCTTAGGACCATCAACCTTTGCTATGATTCCTCGCTTTTCAAGATCAATTAGTTGATTATTATGTTTAGGCTTGATTGTAAATGGGACTCTACGAGGTGGTCTAGCCACTGACGCTACATTTTCTTTAAGGTTTAAACTACATTTTTTTTAAATTTACCTAAACCTGAAAAAACATCCTTATTCATTTCTACAAATTTTTCTTTAGAATGCAATATTATGTTATCAATTTTATTAATTAAATCAAGCTCTATGGTAGAACATAAACCCAAGATAGGTGTTGATCTTTCCTTTACAACAACAAAATCTAATAAATGATCAATATTTTTATATTTACAGACAAGTTTTATTATACCCAAAGGAATGATCTTAAAACCATATGTCTCAAGTATGACTTTAGTTTCTTTTAATTCATTACTTTTGCAAACTTTTTCAACAACAACCTTGGGTAAAATGTTAACCTGTGCCCCTGTATCTATTTTAAAAGGTATATTAATTTTTAAATTTTTCTACCCAGTCTTTATTATTTTTATTCTTAATTTCATTAACAGTGATTGATGAAATCATGAAATCGTCTACTTCATTATTTTCACTTTCTTCCACTTGTACCTCTCTTACTAAACTATCATTTAAAATTTTCGGCCACATTGCCTTCAAATGATGGATTTGGTAACCTTCCTTCCATGATTTCCGTTTAATTTCCACTAGACTGCGCCAAGTAATAATATTTCATTGCATATAATGCATTTATTTAAACATACTTTTTAACAAAGTCTACAAGAATCAACCATGTTCAAAACCCATGTTCTAAAACTGACCAGTAATGGCAAACTGACAACGAGTCTCCATACATTGTGCCTAGAGCCCCGTGACCGTAATCATAACCTACTGATATGACACGTAGTAATTCCATTCGGTCCAGGGGCCTTGCCTAGTTTTGCTACTTTTATAGCGTACTCCACCTCGACGCGAATAATGGGACGGCCGGATAAATTTTCCATGAGTAAGTTAGTAGTTGGCAGATTCGATCTATTATCCGCAAAGATTGACGAAGCATAGTTTGCCCAGATTTTAGCTAGTTCTTCCTGGGTATGTACGTAGTTTCCTTGATCATTCTTTAGGCGAGTCTCATGGTATTTATTGTATATACACGAAATTTCTTTGACCTTTTTATGTAGTCCAAAGCTGTTTCCCTTTTCTTGTAGTGATTCCAATTCTTCACAACGTCCTTTCATCCAGCTTTCCTTTGCATTTTTAATTCTTGGCCTTATCGTACGTTGGATTTCCTTATACTCTTGTTGATTCTGATGTATAGTCAAGTGTATTTAAATGTAAATAAAATGGATATGTGCTAATAAGACTGAATTACTTCGGAAAGAAGCAGGGATCAGCGCAGAATAATAACGAACATACTTACCGTATGTGTGCGAGTCAAGACGCTATAAGGTCATCGGTTCAGTATTGGTTTATAACAGATGCCTTGAGAAAAAATGGTCCTGATTCTGAACAAGTAACTATTTTCTGTAGTGAAAATAAACAGTTAAAAATGTATACTAAAAACACTTTATTTTACATTCAGATCATATATCACAGTAATAATCAGTTAAATATAACAGCAGCGTCATTGTGCACTAGCAGATTAAAAATTTTGATAAGTATGACTACAGTTTAATCACTCGATCTAGATACCAGCATACAAAGATATCGGATTAGTTAATCAAAGATTAAAGCAAAAAGGTTATTTTTGAAATAAACCAATAGATTTAAACAGGAATATAAAACAATAGAATACATAAGACTTGTCTTTTTGAAAACTTTCATGCGTAGTGCCCAATGCGCCGCCACTGTCGACTCACAGTAAAACATTCTTAACGAAATAAACTAAATATAAACAGGTTACAAATAAAAACAATGAAAATGAAGATCTCGTAATACTCGAACCCGAAATCGAACATTTAAGGTCACTCTTTAATGAAGTTTCGTACATCGACGTCATTGGATCGTTCTCTTTCAGGGTCGGTACAGTCCTCAACTTCTGTGTCACATCGTGGAACAATAAGTCATGTTCGTCGTCATAGCTTCCGAACATAGTAAACGCATTGGTCGTAGATTTGTAGTTCTTTCCAAAAAGTTCATCTAATTGTAGGAAAACGTCTAGAGTGTCTTTTTTCCAGAGTTCTGTAGAATTGCCCCTTACCATGGCTTGACCAACAGGCGCCCAACTCAGTTGGCACGCAGATGTTTTGTCTGTGCAACTCACTTGGATCTGTTTGATTTCGTTTACGTGGTACGCTAGAACAAAAAGATTTGTTTAAATTATTGAAAAATGCAACAAAAATATAATTATTCCGTTATTCAGTCTCATCGTGACATCAAAAGGGGATAATCAAATTTAGATTTTGGATGAAGTACATTTCTATAAAGATGTCTAACTTAGTTTGTATACGCGCTAATAGATGGCGCACAGGTTAATTTTTATAATAAATTTTAGATATAATGTATTATAATTATTTGAATAAAATTCTTTTAAATATCTTTTAAAATGAACTAAAAATTATAAATTAATTCACATAAATCCATTGAGATTTATTCCACATGCAAACTCATAATCATATACAATTCGTTCAAACTGATTTGTGATCAAAAAGAAAGTGAAAGTAAAAAGAGAAAAGATAGTGAATTTAAAAAGAAAAGATTGGTGTAATTCAAAACAAAAGTATAAGGCGCATACAATCAGTGGCCGATCCAGAAATTATTGTCGGGGGTAAGGGGAGGGGTCATGGGTCTTGAAGGTGATTTTGATATAGGATTTAGACTTATGGCTTCTTCTGAAAACTTTCGACATCAATTGATATAACAGGTAATTTTCAAATTATATATGGAAATAAGAGAAAGTATAAACCCAAAGAAAGCTCCTGAATTTGATCCCATAACTGTAGAAATGTTAAAGCAGCTTCCAAGGAAAGCTATAATAAAATTAACACATCTTATAAATGCTTCCTTTAGACTGAGGTACATACCTACCAAAGATATGGAAGGTGGCACAAATCATAAACTAAAACCAGGAAGATCTCCACAAGCAGCTTCTTCATATAGGCCCATTTCACTGTTGCCTACCATATCGAAATTATATGAAAAATTACTCTTGAAGAGACTGAAACCGAATATAGAGGAAAGAACTTAATTCCTAATCATCAGTTTGGGTTTAGAGAAAGTCACTCAACGATAAGTAAATCGATTACATAGAATAACAGATATAATAGAAAAAGTCTAGAAGAAGGAAAAGTATGTTCCCCAATTTTTCTCGATGTAGCTCAGGCTGTTGACAAAGTCGTCATGATGGATTATATTAGCAAAATAGCTTTTATAGGATTATTTGATTGAGATTTATTTTTGTTGGGGGGGGGGAGGTCATGACCACCGGTGACCGCCCTCCCTTGTATTCGCGACTGCATACAATAGATAATAATAAGTAGTTAGTATTCATTAAAGAATAAACAAGACATTTTTGTCTCAGAAATCCCAAGACAAGTAGGTACCACCTGGAAAAATACACAAGGTCAACATATATTGACAATTATTGACATATATTGACAATAATAAACTATACAGTGTGTTAAGTTCTGCGCGTCGTCGACTTGCACTACATATCTGCTTCGTTGACTCGTCGTTGCTCGTCGCCCGTCGGCAAATTTGTCATATTGTCATTATACCGTGGTTGTTTAAAGGTATAACAGCGTAGAGTTTTAATTTATTTTTGTAAACATGTCTGTTTATATGGCCGCGGAAAAAGCTCAAATAATAAAATGGTTTTATAGTGGCAATTCTGCGCAACAGTGTGTAGATTTATTTTCTGTGTTTTTTGAGGGAAGACCAATTCCTTGTGTACAGTCAATTTATAATATTGTTAAAAATTTTGAGAGTTGTTATTGCCTCAAAAATTGCAGAAAATGTCACGCTCAAGAAGTGTTACCAGAAAAAGTTGAGGAAAGAGAATACCGGGATACACAAATTTGTGCAACAATCGAGGTAGATTCAACACGTTCAAGTAGAAGCGTTGCTAGAGAGTTAGATGTTAGCAATGTTACTGTAACGAAAGTATGGAAAAAGCACGGTTACAAGAATTTTAAATATTCGAAAACGCAGCAGCTTTATCCAGACGATTACTTTCGAAGAATGGAGTTTTGTGAAACTCTAATAACGAAGGCTAATAGTGAACCAAATTTTATTAAAAACATTTTATTCACTGATGAATCTTCTGTTTCGTTAGTAGGGAGACACAATCCTTCCATTACGAGGTATTGGGCGCGGGAAAACCAGCACAGAAGTGTTGTTTACCGAACTCAACGTCCTCAAAAAGTTAACGTCTGGACTGGCATTTTAGGAGACCACATAATAGGTCCATTTTTTATTGAGGGCAACTTGAATAGTAGAGTATACCTCGATTTGTTACAGAATCATGTTCTTCCCGCTATTCTCAATCTTCCTGATGTAAATCTGGAGAATGTTTGGTTTCATCAAGACGGCTGTTCAGTTCACAACGCTCGAATTATTAGGGAGTATTTAAACAATACTTTCCCGAATCGAGTTATCAGTGGAACAGGCGATATTAAGTGGCCTGCGCGATCTCCAGATCTTACACCCATGGACTTCTTTTTTTGGGGACATTTAAAAAGCATTATCTACGCTCATCCTGAGGCTAGAGCCCAAAATTTGGATGAATTAAAAAATCGAATAAGAGAAGTCTCCAATTCTGTTACAGCAGAAACTCTTTCATCTGTTCGCAGAAGTTTTTATGACAGATTGGGGTACTGTTCAGCCGTAGAAGGTCAACTATTTGAACCATTTCTGTAGGTCATAAAGAATTATTTTTTATTTTATTAGGAATAATATTTTAATTTTCAATAAGAGTATATTTTTTATTTTATCTTTTTAAAGAAATACGCTTTTATTTTTAATTCAACCACAAAAAAATTTTCACATTAATAAAAATCGATAACAATGCACCGATTAGGTCAGTGCATTTTTATCGAATTTCCTACTATTAAAATCGGCTATACGTAATGAAACATGAGATCGGACGACAGAGAAGTACATCCCAAACGTTGTTGTGAGTTACTAAACTAAAATAAATTATTTCTGTCGTGTGTTTCGGTAGAACGAACATTTGCAACTTGCCGATTTTAGCGCTCCGTATAGTGTGCAATACCTAATCAAAAACTTAACGCACTGTATAATAACCAATAGAGAAATACAATCGACTCTCGTTAATTCGAAACTCAAGGGACTCTTAAAATAGACGAATTATTGAGTCTTTGGAATATCAAATGGTTAGAAATTTGTGAGTGAAAATAAATAAAACTTCGAATTATTAGGTGTTGATCAATTATTATATATTAACTGCTATTCTATACAGATCACAAGAGTTTAGGTTTAGGTAGATTCGTGTACATACATGTATGTATTCATAATGCGAATTAATCAATCTTTCGAAAAAACTGTATTATACTGGTTTGCTTTAAAGCACATTGCTGCTACTCAGACTGTTTCAATCATTTTTTTAAGAGAAAAAGTGCCTGAAATGCTTTTTCATTACTTTCGTTTTGTAGACAGGTTTGTAAGGTATCGAATGAAGATCTTGCTTCCTTAACTGACACCCCTACCAAAGGTTCTGCGTGTATCGTAGTGAACCTGATGGCAGCAACATCTTTATCCACTTAAACAAAGTCAGAAAAACTCACACCGCTAATGTTAACTAATGGTTCTATTACTGGTTCTTCATCATCCATAAGTATTGGAAGATTTTCCTTATCTTCTTTTTACCATGCCTTGTCCTTTCTCTCCATGCCTTGTCAAGCTGTGAAAGAGCTGTCAGAACCGTGATATATACCAGTTAGCTGCTTGTCGGCAGATTCTAAAACAAGCTTAACAATTTCTTTGTAATAAAACATCTCAAAATTATGGATGATTACTTGGTCCAACGGTTGCAATTTAGTAGTTTTATTTGGCGCAAAGAAGTAGAGTTCCACGTTGGGCAATGTAGGAGGACTGTTGTGGATAGTGTAATTGTCTAAAAATAGTAAAATTTTCCACTTTTGCTGTTTCATGTCCCTATTAACTGTTAAAAGCCAATTGTTAAACAGTGCTGTCGTCATCCAAGCTTTTTTGTTAGCACGATAATCCATAGGAAACGATTTTACATCTTTAAAACATCGCGGTTTCATTGCTTTTCCTATTACCAAGGGTTTAATGAAATTAATAAATTTACTATGTTTTCCTCCATGACATTTTTTATCTTTAAAAGTGAGCGTCTTGTTTGGTAAACATTTGAAAAACAGGCCAGTTTCATCAGTATCAAAAATGTCTCGGGCATTATAGTTTTCAATCAAGGTCATTTTACCGTGCCAATCTAATCAAACTGTACCATCAACACTTCCACTTTCCCCACAAGCCACCCTTCACTTGCCGCAAAGTTTTTGATGCTTAGAAGTAGACGCGAACTCTTTCGCTCTTTTCTTCAACAAGTTTTCGCTAATAGACACTTTTTGTCCTCTACACTGTTTTAGCCAAATGACCAAATTTTCTTCCAGGCGAAGAAATTCAACTTAAGTAGTTATTTTTCCTACTCCTGCAGTTTGATCAGCAGCAGTTTTTCTCTTTATGATTTATTATGGTTGAAAGAGTATTCAGAGGTTTCTTAAATTCTTTTGCAACATCATTTTCTTCTCACCTTCCTCTACTTTTTGGATTAAGTTCTTCTTTTAAGCAATCGTCAAACATGTATAATTTCTAGGGCTCATGACTAACAAAATTTTAATCTGTATACCAACGAAAGAGTAACAGTTACTAATAATTAGAGTGTGTAGTCAAATCAATGTAGTTTCAAGCGTCAAACAACAACTAATCCGCTGGTCAAAATATATAAAAGATGGAATGATGTCATGCCATTTCCCTGAGGGCACGAGGACAAGGCAAAGAAACCTTGCGAGATTAATTTGGGCAAAAACTGTTTAGAACAGCGGTAAATAAAAAATCGCCATATTGATTTCCAACCTCGCACGAGGTGCAGGAACCTAAGGAAGAAGAATCTGACCCTCTATAGCTAATAGCTTTCTGATGCTGTGTGTGAACTAGTTGTGAATCAATTTAATCTGTTAACTTATGTGTACTTCATTTTGGAGAATGTTTTCTCAAGTACTTCCATAGAAAGTAAACCTTGGCTATCAGCGGTAACTAGATACTGGAGAATAACCAGGACATCACAATAAAAGGTAAAATGTTTTTAATTCCCTCCTCAAAGGGAAGTATCGCAAAAAAAACTGATTCTGAAATAATTCCATTTTCAATTTATAGCACAAACACAAAATTAATAAAAAAATATTTTAGGAGGCTATAGGCTTCTGCTAAGGGTTATATTAAGGAAAATATCTGATAATATAATAGTAATATACGATATAAACTGAGGAAAATTGGGAAATATATTGGAAAAGGTGAAAAAGGTTTAGGTTTTTATATGGACTGCTATGCAATAAGATCTGTTTCGAAGGAAATCAATTTAGCACCTTCCAAAATAACATATTTTTCTTTGTTTGAGTTTTATCTTCGATATATCCTTTTTGGGTTCTCGCACAACTGCCCAATCTGATGCTATTTTTCAATCACAAAAAAGAGCAATACGGTTATCTTTTTAGCCTCAGTAGAATAACACACAAATACAACAATGGAGATCATGGTTAGGAAAGAGAAGCAAAGGAAGACCACAAATCAGATGGGATGATGACATTACGAAGATCGAAGGACACAATTGGAAGCAAGTGGCGCAAAATAGAAAACAGTGGATTGATTTGGGGGAGATCTATGTCTAAACTTGGATTACTTAAGGCTGAAGAAGAATAAGAAGAATAACACATTGCAGAAGCTACTTCAAAAATCACTGGATTTTAACTCTTCCCTCTTTCTATATTCTAGAAACTGTTTGCTCAATTCGTAAATACCTACATATTTTTCCAGCAAGAGCTAGTCATGACTTTTTTTTTGAACCTATTCTCTATCCTTTTATTGTTGGATATAGGTCTCCCCCAATTCTCTCCATCTTTCCCTATCTTGAGCTGTTCCTGCCATGTGGGACCTCCTTGTTTCCTGATGTCATCTCTTCCACCTCATCTGTGGTCTGCCTCTTGATCTCTTTGCATTGTATGGACGCCCTTTTCAATGGCATTATTCCATCGTCCGTCTTGGAGACGTTCATTGTGTCCAGCCCATTTACATTTCAGTTTTGCTGCTTATTCTATCGCGTCTACTGTCTTTGTTCTGGTACTGATCCACTGGTTACGTTTTCTATCTCTAAGTGATACACCCAACAGTTCAGTCATGACTATTCCACCAGAAATTCAAGCTTTAATGTAAATCTACAACTTCTTTCCTTAAGTTCCGTAAATTGGCAAAGACCATATTATTCGATGGAAGAGTTTCTTAACGAATAACTAACAAATAACAGTACGTTTAAGTACCAGCAACTTAAACTTATTCGTAAACAAGTTCGTAAGATTTTATTATATAATTTGCAGTTTAGTTAAATTTTGCAATGGATTGTATATTTTTATTAACTTTTTTTTTATTATATTGACGACTTATGTAATTTTAGTAAATTTTAATTGTTATTATTTTTGACTTTTGTAAGCTTTGTCCCTAAAATTGTATAATTTTCAGTGACACTAAAGCATATTTCTATTCTATTCTATTCTATTTTTCTAATAATTGTAACACAAACCTGCCATAAATTTAGAAATAGAGTTTTTAGAGACGAACGCCACCTCTCCCTTTCCACTAGTCAAGCAATGTAGGGCTCCAAGTTCTCCATCAAAAGTGTCGCCTTGGCATAACTCATTTAGCTTTGCAAAACCACTTTCCTTTGGAACACCAGGTGTACAACTTGGTCCAAAGAAGTTGGCCATTTCTATGTCCAAGGGGCATTTGTGGATAAGGGATCTGTTGAACAAAACGTTCTTTACAGTATTCCAAGCAACTCCATCGTAGACGGGGAAGCAAATTTTCTTGCCTCTTAGGTCTTCCATACTGCTTATTTTGCTTGTTGTTGCTACTACGGTGATGTATTTTTCATCGTCCAATACGGTTTCGTAGAAGAGTGTTGTCAGATTATACTTACTACAAACAAAAAAAGAACTATGTAAAAACATTTAATACAAAAAAAATACAGCATATTTAATGAAGATGGTAATGATATTAATACAAAGTTTATTAGCTTAAAATATTCCTTAGCATGGCCACTTTGCCCACCCTTTCCTTCTTAAGATGCCATACACCAAAGTGCGTAGGCGACTATCTCATTACTAGAATTCTGTTCTTGGCGGCGTGACACAGCTCACCTGTATTGTGTATTCCTGTCCATTCTTTAATATTCCTTAACCAGGACAATTGTTTGCGGCCGGCTCCTCTCCTACCTTCGATCTTCCCTTGTAGGATTAACTGTGGTATTTCATATTTTGCTCCTCTCAATATGTGCCCAAGGTAACCAATCTTGCGTTTTTTAATTAATTCAAAGAGTTCTCTTTCCACGCCGGCTCTATTAAGGACGTCATCGTTTCGAACTCTATCCACCCAAGGTATGCGCATCATTCTTCTCAATGACCACATTTCAAATGCTTCAAGTTTGTTGATAGATGTTTTTTTCAAAGTCCACGTTTCCATGCCATAAAGCAAGATGGACCATATGTAGCACTTGACCATTCTGTAGCGTATTTCGAAGTTTAGGTGTTGATTACATAGGAGCGGTCTGAATTTCACAAAAGCTTGTCTTGCCATTTGTATTCGGGTTTTTATCTCGTGTTGTGGATCCGATTGGTCATTGATTGTGGTGCCAAGGTATTTAAAAGTTTTCACGCGATTTATACGATTGTCACCTATGCATAATATCGGGTTTTCTGGAGGGTTTCTGCTAATGACCATATATTTCGTTTTCAAAATGTTGATTTTGAGGCCATATTTTTTACCTATGCTATTCACCCTATCAAGTAATAACTGCTGATCTTCCAAATTATCAGTTATAATCACTGTGTCGTCCGCATAGCGTAGGTTGCTAATTGGTATGCCGTTCACCTTAATGCCTAATTCCGTATCTTCTAATGCTTCCGCAAATATATTTTCAACATATAAATTAAAAAGCATCGGAGAGAGTATGCAGCCTTGGCGGACACCTTTCCGGATTTCAAATTCATCCGTATATTGGTCTTGATCAATCCTCACCTTTGCCATTTGGTTCCAGTATAGATTCTGAATAATTCTGATCTCCTTCTGGTCAATGTTGGCCCTATGTAGTAGTTCCATCATGATATCATGTTTAACATTGTCAAATGCCTTCTCGTAGTCGATGAAGGTGAGGTAGACATCTTTTCGTTGATCTAAGCAGTTTTGTATTAAGGTGTTCAAACATAAAATTGCCTCTCTTGTTCCTAGTCCTCCCTTAAAACCGAATTGTGTTGACCCGCTAAGTTCTTCTAGTATCTTATACATTCTTGAGTGTAATATCCTAAGGAAGAGTTTCAACAAGTGACTCATTAAACTGATTAAGCGGTGTTCATTGCATTTTGTGGCATTAGCTGTTTTTGGGATCATCACAAAGGTTGACTGCAGCCATTCTCGCGGAATGTAACCAGTATCATAAATTCTATTGAACAGCCTTACCAAGATTTCGATATTCTCCTCGTCTAGTAGTTTTATTGCTTCTATATTAATTTCATCTGGACCTGTTGCTTTATGCATCTTTGTGGTTCTAACTGCATATTCTATTTCACTTCGCATTATTGATGGCCCTGATAAGTTTTCGGAAGGAAGTTTGCGCGTTGGTTGTGTTGGTCTTTCGTCATTAAAAAGGCTTTCTGCGTATTCTTTCCACGCCATTGCTATCTCTTCTTCTGACTCTATGTATTCGTTTCTGTCGTTGCGTATTCTTGTTCTGTGGTGGCTTTTGTGTATATTCGATATTTCTTTGATCTTCTTATGTAGTCCAAAACTATCTCCTTTTTCCTGCAATTGTTCTATTTCGTTGCACCTTTCCACCATCCAACGTTCTTTTGCTTTCTTAATTTTCTGACGGATTTCTTTGTGTATCTGTTTGTATTTGTCTTGATTACGTTGTTGTTTATGTTGCCTTCGCTTTTCCATTAGATCCATAATTTCGTCCGTCATCCATTCGTTATGCTTTCTCTTTCTGATCTGTGTTTTAACTTCCCTGTTTACTGCCAGAATCGTTCCTTTAATATCATTGACCATCTCTTCGATATCATAATTTTGTTCTATTACTCGCATTCTTTCATTAATTTGATTCGCATAACTCTTCTTCAGATTTTCGTCTCTCATCAGTTCTCTTGTATTTATAGGTGTGCTGGTATTTGTATTTGTTCTCTTAATTTTTGCTAGTTTTAACCTCACATCTGCTATTAGCGGATTATGATCGGATGCAATATCAGCACCTGGATATGCTGCGATTCTTTTGATAGCGTTACGAAATCTTCTGTTTATTAAAACGTAGTCAATTTGGTTTCTAATTATTCGATTTGGACGGTCTCCTGGTGATCTCCAAGTATATAACTTACGAGGTGGGAGCTGAAACCATGTGTTCATGACGACAAAACCGTTCTCCTGGCAGAATTCACACAGCAGGTCGCCTCTTTCATTTCTAACTCCAAGGCCGTACTCTCCAATTATGTCTTCATATCTTCCTTTACCCACCTTGGCGTTAAAGTCGCCCATTATTATGTTTATGTCCTCTTTCTTTGTTAGTCTTATTGCTTTTTCCAGATCTTTATAGAACTTAGTTATTTCTTCTTCTGACTTATCTGCTGTTGGTGCATATGCTTGTGTCACATTTATGTTTACTGGTTTGCCTGTCATTTTGATCAACATGACTCGTTCGGAAATTGGAACAAAATCTGTCACCGATTTACTGGTCTTCCTGTCAAGAGCAATAGCCACCCCATGTCGGTGATGTCTATCTGTTGGGTCACTACACGAGTAATACATAGTAATCTTATCTTTCGTAAACTGTCCAGATCCAGACCATCGGACTTCACTGACTCCCATTATATTTATTTTCAGCCGATTCATTTCCTTTATAAGGTTGTGTAGTTTTCCTGGTTCGTAAAGACTATTAACATTCCATGTTGAAATTCGTTGGATATCATCTATTTGGCACCGGGAGATTCTTCGCACCCTCTGACCATCTAAGGCCTGCCCGGGACTGAGGGCCATCTGAGTTTTGTTTTGTTCTGCCATAATGAGATGAGTTATCCTGGGGAAAAGGTAGTGTTGTAGTATCCCGTTACTTTCAACACCGCAGTACCACAGCCATTCAAACTGTCCTAGTCATGCCTGTGGAATTCCAATAACAAGCCGGTCCAAGATAATTTCTTTTGCGCCTTGCGTTGGTACTGGTGATCGCTGCTGCCCTTCACCAGGGTTGAGGACTAGGAGGGATAAATATGGAGGGTGTAGGATAAAGGCTCTGGGACATGAGATTCCACGGTGTGAGATGGTGGAATATCATGAGCTAGCGTGGGCAGGGTCGCTAATCCCTGAAGTAGGTCTGTTTCCACCGGGATCGTGAAAAGTACCTACCCGCTACCCCACCACCCTTTCCGTAAGTAAGTAATTTTACCACGTCTATATCTAGATTTAAAGTACCTAATCTTTTATTTTGTTTGATTTTACTGAGTGTGTGTCAAATAATACCTAATACGAATAATACTATTAAAATAAATTTACAGAATATAAAAGAACTTACGTTTGTGCTTGATGAACTAGATCAGTCGGTAGGATCACTACATCAGCAATGTTTTTGTTCAAAGCCCACATACAGTGACTTTTGTTATCTGCTTTAACACACTCCAAATCTGGTTCAATACCATAGACTGAAGCTGATTCGCGCATCCAGGAACATTTCGCGTGTTCTTTGATGGAAGTTGTGCAGATCGTTATAGTACGTGGAGGATGGCAACCTGAGAAGCTATTGGCGCTAAGGTAACCTAAAAGATTGGTAGCAAGTTAGTGTAACGCAAAAATAGACAAACGAAGAAAAAATTTCAAGCAAAATAGCAACAATCAAATTTTGCTGCCGAAATTAATCAACTATTTAAATTAGATTCTATCATATTTTTTTATTTAAAAGTTAAAACGGCTGAATATGTTGAGTTAAAAACACAGTCACTGTTGAACAACCAAAAAAACGAGATTGACTCCAACCACAACCATTTTCGTTTCCAATATTCCTAAAATCATACTCATTTACTTTTTAAATCAACTTTAACCTTTGATCTATCGATACAGTTTAATTTTTAAAAGCTCAAAACATCAATACGTTCAGCAACATGGTCAAATTTCACAATACTCTGAAAATAATCCCAATCAATTGGAATGTCTTGAGTACTATCTTGTAGAGAATGAATACCAGAAAGAACAATATTCTGTCTGAAATGATCCGAATAGCTTATCAACACAGGTAATCAATACGACGATTGTCTATCCAGAATTAAATAGACTCACCTACTTTGAACACCTAGAGAGCTATTATCAGAAAATATTCTTTGGATGATACGGCTACTATCTAGTAGTAGAAAATGAAGGAAAAATCAATGATGGACATGCATCATGACATGAACTTGAGTAAACTTTGTACAAAATTTGACGGATACACTGGAACTTTGTAGCATTTTCAATTTCATTAATTCTTTTAAGTATATTTAAGTCCCCTCGTATACGAAATATTAAAATCACCTTATATATTTTTGATAGATCTAAAAATATTTCGTACGTATTTAAACGCAAATATCTTTTCATTTTTTTCTTAGGTCGGCCAAGTTGAAATAAACCATTTTAGAGTTGTTTATTTATTTTACTTCGGCAATTTCTTTTCAAGTTTATGCGTCGCAAAAGGATATGTACGTCGTTTCGTGGTGTCTTGTTATGTCAGCGTTTGTATGTATGCGTTTAATTTTAATAGAATTTCTTCACTCTCGTTGTAGCAGCTTTGAATAGCGGTTCAACGTTATGTCCAAATTCACGTCGAATTTGTAAAGTATCCTGTTTTCGTCTTTTGTTATGAAGAATATGTAGCAGTTTGTTATTGGTTTTGTGGCAGTAAATGCTTCAATTATTAATGTTTTGAGTGAGGATTGGAGGACATCCTCGTTTTGTTTTTCTTTTGTTCCTGCTTTTATCCAAGGCTTTTGGCAGTTTTGGAGATGGAGGTTTTCGTCATGCAGAGAGAGTGGAGCCCTCAGTTCCAGGTTCCAGTTATGGTTTCAGAAACTTAAGTGTGATCATGTGAATTAAGGTAACATTTTGTTCAAATTTTAAACTAAAGACAGACATTTTTTTATAAAATAATAATTGCTTTCGTTGACATTTAAAATTGTAAATTTTAGGTTTTGAGTAAAGCTGTCAATTTGTGTTTGTTTTTTTTTTGGAATTTAATGTTAATTTATGACAGCTCGTTTTAGTATTTTTGATGTTGATTTGTTTTGTTTTTTTTTTTTAAAGGTTAACCTCCATGCAATTTTGTGAGTTTTGTAGCAATGGAGTTTGTTAATGGATGACACATGTAAGTTTTTGAATGTATTTATCTGTATTTCTCCATGTAACTGTTTGTGGTGACACATAAATAAAGGTTAAATTTTGTTGTCTTAACTTTTTATTTTTTTTTGAGCTAACCCTTTTTGAGTTTATTTGAAAAAGATATGTTTTTTATGTTTTGATTTTGTTTTCTAATTATTTCCCTAGTTACGACTAGTGGTTGTAATAGGCATAATTAGGCACCTCAAGTGGCGCCCTATATTAAATTCCTTGAGGTGTTTCTTGTTTATTTTTATTTTGTTTGTTCCAAGATTAATGACCCCTTTATTTCATTTTTTTTTAGTTCCCAATTCTAACCCTTTATCTATCTTTTACTTATCCACGACCCCAGCTCTCCTACGAAACCCTGAGTGCCGTTCGCATCAGTAGCGATTATTTTGCTTGCCTTATCTCCACCCCTTTAGTTTCTTCCCCCAATTTTCTACCCCCTTGTGTTAAAGTCCCCTGTGGTAGGCAAAATACCATCGTTACAACTTGAGATTTCACTATGATAGCTGTAATGCTCAAAAAAAAACATCATAGTCTACAACTCATGAATGATCGCAATTATTATGCCGGAACCTACTGTATTCCAACTGTCTCCCTAATGCAGCCCGTTATTTGTTGTTTAAGGTTCAGCCAGTTCCCCCGAAATCGTACTCTATATTAAACTTTTTCAAGTGTTAGTTTTGTTAAATTTACAAACTGATTTGGTATTCATAGCTTGTAATGAATAGAGAATATGGAATAACTAGATATTCCTAAAAGATTTTACTGAATATTTTATGAAACAATTTAGCAAGCAGCCCATCGATGCCATGATGCCATCAATATCGTTCGAATTTATTTAATGTAAAGCATTGGCAGGGTTGTTTTTGCCTACTTAAATATTCTTTTTTTATTTTTAATAAATACGATTAGTTAAGTAATTGTTTTATTTGCTACCAGCTAAGAGTTCATGGTTTAATTCATAGTTTAAGACAAGACGGATTCACACTTGAGAGACTGAGCTAGGCAAAGCATAGACGATAAGCTTGCATGGTTGATTGAGGTATTGTTTTTACAATAGTATTTCAATTCTTTTTCTTAGTCTCATCTTTACAAGCTCTTTTATTGCTTTGAACATTTCTCTTCTATTCACAGAGTCGTAGGCTGCTTTGTAGTCTATAAATATGTGATAAAAGATAAAAAGTTATTTATTGCTGTTAAAAATCAGTATAAACAAACAACAATAAACTAAGATCTGGGCAAATTTTAGTTACGCCATAAATAAAAATAGATGATTCGTCAAAAACAGTGAATCAATTATTATTTTAACTTTCAAAAATGAAAAATGATGAGTATGAACTACAATTTTTCAACCGAAAAAGCTTTTTGGTTTTATATCAAACATATACTCTCAATACATAAATGAATCTTTTATTTGGAATATTAAAAATTTAATTGAATATTTACCAGTTGCTTGATCCAAATACGTCTCGATAGGATCGATGTTTGGTAGCTTGTAAAACGTTGTATAAGCCGTTTCAAGAAGCATCAGTAAACTGTATCTCCACGAAATTCTGTCATTGTGTGATAAGGGAGTCACTATTTTTTGAATGTCGTCTGCTACTGTCCTAAAATATTTATAAAAATTTAAAATATTAGTCCAAAGAAAGCAAGTCAGTGAAAAAAATCGTATGCAACTGTATGTCTTACTAAAGCCTGTGATAAGCTAGCAGCAACATTTGATAAAGCCTCCCAATTTGATTATAATAATATAATTTGATAAAGCTAACAATGTAGCAGGGTCAAATCATTAGACTACTACAAATAACTGTATGAACATTGATAAAACACTGGCCATCCCACTTAAATAAATCAAAGGACTGTGTCCAAGAACTCATCTGGCTTTTTTCCTCTTTTCTTCCAATAAATATTATATAAGTACATGGGACTTTGGCAGACCTGCTATAAACAAGTTTTCCGTCAACATTCGATAAACCTTTTTTTGATCCTGATATATCCAGGGCTTATACAGGGTGAGTCATAACTATTGGGACATAGACTAAGGACAGGTTATTTGGACCAAAATATGGCTATTTGGCCAAATATGCCTTAATAAAATGTTGCTGAGAAAAAAGATACAGGGTGTTAAAGTTAATTTTTGTTTTTCGTTTTTTGCTAATAGTTTCCCTGTATATTTATAAATTGCTATCAAAATTGGCACAGAGGCATAATCTTAGACAAGAAATAGTATTTTATTTACAATTCCACTATCAAATACCAAACTAGATAAACAAAGTTGCAACTAACGTAAGGTTTCCGTTTTGGCGATAAATCAAAACTAAACACACTTTAACTTAAAGAACTCACAAAAACTCAAACTAAATGTTCTACATGGTCTCCTCCGATTTCTATGCCTTTTCTAATTCTTTTTATAAAGGATTTTCGGACGTTAAAAAAAATATTATTCTGTCCCCTTATAAGATTAGCTGCATTTTGAATGTATCTCCAAAGTTCGTCTCGTGTATTAATTTCATTGGCATAAACTAAGGACTTCATATGTCCCCAAAAATAAAAATCTAGCGGGTTGTACTCAGGACTTCTTGGTGGCCATTGAAAATCACTGCCTCTGCCAATCCATAGTTGAGGAAATACGTCATTAAGATGATTTCTAACAGCTAATGAAAAATGAGGTGGCGCTCCATCCTGCATAAACCACATTTTTCTTCTTACATCCAGTGACAGATCATCTAAAATATCACTAAGAGTATTTTCCAAAAAGAATAAATAAGAATCTCCATTTAAATTCGGAGGAAGAACATAAGGCCCTAGTAGTTGGTCGCCTATAATGTCACACCAAATATTCAATTTAAACTCATGCTGAAAATGTCTAGCTTTAATAGCATGCGGGTTTTCTTCTTCCCAATAATGACTATTTCGCCAATTAAAAACCCCTCGTCTGGTAAAAGTTGCTTCGTCGGTGAACATAATATTCTTAATAAAGTGTCTGTCATTGCGATGTTTATTCAGAATACGTTGGCAAAACTGTAACCGTCGTGGAAGATCTGTTGGAAGTAAATTTTGAACAGGAGTGAAGTGATAAGGATGGAGGTTCTCTTTTTTTTAGAATTCTAACAATAGACGACTGACTTACTCCTGTTGCTGCTGATAGATGTCGTGAACTTATTTTCAGGATTTTCATCTACTCGAACCAAAAGTTCATCTTCTTGATTAGATGTGATTTGTTTCGGTCGACCACCCCGATTTTTAGTGTGAAATGACCCAGTTTCACCTAAACTACGATATAATCTTGCAAAAGTTTTGTGATTTGGTTGCCTTCTGTTTGCGTATAACATTCCATACCTTCTGGCTGCCGAGCGAACGCAAAAATTTTCTTGTGCGTATACGCAAATCATATCTCGCATTTCTTCATTAGTAAAATGATTGTGACGAGACATTTCAATCAAAAAAGTAATGATTACTTTTAAAAAATGCAACATTACACTACACTGTCACATCAAAAATAATTTACTCTGAACAAATGACATTTACCAACAACAATTATCTGACAGTCCAAAGCATACTTTTCATAAATGAAATAATATTTGAAATCCTTTTTTAAGACTCTAAGCAGTTCGACTGCGTTTTTATCGAAAACGGTTGAAATTATCATGTTTAAACAAGAGTACCAATTTTACGTAAAAATGATGTTTACGTCATATTTTCTAATAAAAATTACTAAAAAGTTTCATCAGAAAAAGTTTAGACTCAATTTGATCATTAGGAATGATCCACGTGGCGCCCTCTATGACAAAACGTAAAATTGTAAATAAAATACTATTTCTTGTCTAAGATTATGCCTCTGTGCCAATTTTGATAGCAATTTATAAATATACAGGGAAACTATTAGCAAAAAACGAAAAACAAAAATTAACTTTAACACCCTGTATCTTTTTTCTCAGCAACATTTTATTAAGGCATATTTGGCCCAATAGCCATATTTTGGTCCAAATAACCTGTCCTTAGTCTATGTCCCAATAGTTATGACTCACCCTGTATAAAGCCCTCTTATAATACCAGTAAGTTCTGCGAAAGCACGTACTATGCTAAAAATTATCTTGAAGAATTTGTAATTTTGTAGATTCATAGGTCTCTTCGCCTATTTGCTAGTTATTTTCCAGTTCTTTACTTTTGTTAAGTACTAACCTTCTAGTTGCTACAACTGGCCATGGTTTAACGACCCAAACACAAGGATTCGTACTGTTTAGCGGCATTATAGAATCATTGGGACATAAGAAATAATATCCGTCTGCTGTTGCTTCTGACGGTCCGGCAACTAATCCGAAATGAGGTCTGACATCGTCCAAACGGGCCCAACTAATATCTCCAGCTCCATCCGTAAGACAGAACAGAGATCCTCTGCGTCCCCAATATTTATCCTCCATCGAACATTTTTCGGGATCGCCACAAAGATCGCAAAGGTTGGAATATTTTCTTTCTAAAACAAATGAAATGAATTATAAAAACTAGGTACCAGTAAAAATGATAAATTTAACAAAATATTGAGACCCCGAACTCGAACGGAACCATATCGCTTTTGATGATGGCTCCAAAATGGGTGCCGAAACGTCGAGTATGACATTCTCAACGCGTTTTTTCCCGAGAACTTGGTAATTTTCATTTACCTGACCGCGGAAATTTAGGTATATATGTGTATATAAGATTGTCGTCTTCGGTACCAAAGAAATAAGTATTAAATAGGAAATATCGTGGTAGCAACTATGTGCATTTCCCATGTTTATTAATTTGGTTTTCAAACATTGCGCAATATTGCGAATGTTTGCCGATACGCTCTATTTTGGGCATTGTCTTGAAAAAAACAATGCCTGAAGGTTTATTTATTGTAGGATAAATAAAACACACATTCTGAGTAGAAAAAAAACTAAGCTTCAGAGTCTTTTTGACTTTTGCAGAGTCCTTCTAGCGAGGAGCTCTGGAACTACCCGCTAAGGGTGAGGCCGCACTGACCGTTGTCCGAAAAATGTACCATATTTAAAGTAAATTTAACTTTTATATGAAACTTTTTCGATTTTTAACCAATAAAATTTAGTAAAAACTTCCAGAAGGAAGGACGATGCACATCGAGGCGCGTGATTGGTGGCGCTCGATGACAAGATCATACAAGGTGGATAGCAAAGATTTGGGATTGGAACCCAATAGGAAGGAGGAAAAGCCGTAGACCCCGAAGATCATAGAGGAATGAAGTGGACGAGGCCATGGAAAGACGAGACCTTAGAGATGGAGAATGGCAGAACAGAAAGGACTGAAGACGTTCGCTGAAAGAAGGAAGGCGGCGACAGCTATAAAAATCCTTATATAGATAGATAGATGTATACAGATTGAACGAATTTAAAACGGACCATACAATTTAATATATGTCTGTTTGAACTGCATTTAAAATAGTGGACCAATATAAAACTTGGACAAAAATAAATCCATACCTGGGTTTAGACATTGTATAAAATATTGTTCAACTATCTGTCTCGCAAGAATGTTGTTTGCGTAACAATGTTGCCAATCGCCGTGTAATAATCCGATTTGCGGATCTTTTTGAGAGTTATATCTTCTTCGCATCTTTAAATAAATCGGATATTTGCCTATATTTTTCATTGTATTTACCAATCTACTACAACAGACTAACAACAAAAATAAACTTAAGATATTTTCTTTTTTTCTTGTAAATATTTCATGGATAACACCTTATTTGAGAAACATTTAAAGGAATGAGGTTGACAACACCGCTCAAAGAAGGGCTTGTCTAAAGTAGCGATAAACTGGTTTGACAGCATAATAAAATCGTAGATTTATGTGTAGCTTTCAATTTTTATGATTTCAGAATCCAGCAGCCCGCTGAAGTATTGGATTTTTATAATATAATTATTTTACAACCTTTTGTTGGCCAACCACCTACATCAAAATCAAGCCAAAATACATATTATTTCGTATGTTCCGAATTTATTTCGTTCAATCTGTTATATTTACAGCATATCAATATTGTAACTTCTTCTTTACTAAGATCTTCGTCCTTAATTATATTCCTGTATTTCGAAAATATTATATACCTATTATATTGTTACGCCTGCTACGCTACTGATCCCCATCCTAACGGCAAAGCTACCGATCTATCTATAAATTACTCGAGAAGCCCCTGCCCAGCCAGTGTACAAAAAAATTACAAAAAACACAAAAAAGCGGCTTCGGCCACCAAAAAAAAATTAACAAAAACCCCAAAACCCGGGCACGTAGGGCCCAACCCCAGCACCAAGTAAGCAATTTTAGTTCGCGGATAAGCCACATTAAGATAAACAGGAATATAGCGGAGATGCGCTGTCCTGAGATTCTGCATTCGGTTAGGAAACCATGTTGGGGTTCTATTACCCAGGACCTCCACATGAAGAGAACTTGGCTGATTGTTGTGCCTCTATAGCGAATCAGATTGCTATAGGGGGGAAAGGGATGGTCTAGAGCATTGGAGCACGGTGGGGTGACTCCTGTTTTTACTCGAGTTAACACACCTTGCTTCAATGAATTGTTACACCCGATCGTATTACCTGGGTGAACATTTCTCATAGGCTGGGTTCAATCAAATTGCTTGCTTGCTTGCCCAGCCAGTGTTTAATAGCCTACTGAAGAATTAATTGGTTCGACTGGTTACCAATAGCAGCGCCGACAACAGAAGCATATATAAATGTTAAATCAAATGGTAGAGGGTAAAACTATAATATAAATTTGTACTGTCAGTAATAATAAAGATATTTTATATTGATGGCGTTTTCAGTGTTAGTGTAGATGCATTTATGTAGTGTTACATGACTGTAATAAATTGAAATACGTGTAAATAAAAAGTAAATCAATCAATGTGGCGATTCTATCATCTGTTTCCATGTACCTTATTTCTAAATGTGTATTTTTTATGTAAAACCATTAGTTTAATCAATTAAATCCTTCCTACGCAATAATACTTACTTAATTGCATATCTAGAGAGAGATCATGAACCCAAGGTCCAGCCTTGCAAGCTGCTCCAAAAAACTCAGACGAGGCTTTAACTCTGTTCTCAGACAATGATAGTAATGGATCGCAAGATGGAGTGGTCACAGATGCTTCAAAGAACTGCAAATTTAGAAAAATATACATTAGTAACAACATAGCTAAGATTAATACTATTGCAAGATAGGTAAAAGAAAAACTGTTACTATTTGCAAGAATTAATATTAAACTCAAAACAGTCTTTCGGTTTGGATTGAGTCGATTATTATTGCGCCGAGCTTTCGACATCCTCCTTGATGTCTTCTTCAGGGCTTTCGATCTCTCAGTCTTCCGAGAGCCCCCAGGCACAACTACACTGATCACTAACCGGTGCATTACTAAGTTAGTCTACAATATAACTGTTTACCATGAAAGCTATAAAACTGATATAGCGATAATTAAATGTTTCTGATTTCCTTTCTCTTATATATCTAAACATTTTTAATGTTTAGATGTATTTAACAAAACACAAATTCTTTAAGAACTAGGCGATGATGATCCAGACCGACGAATTGAGTTTTGTGAACTCATGACTGAAATAATTCGCGTTGAACCGAGAAAGTTATAAAATATTTGTTGAGTGCATACATCAATGATGAATGTACTTGTATGCTGAATAGTAATGTAAATAAACAAAACTATCGGTATTGGAATGATGCGAACCCGCATCGATTCAGAGAAGGTTACACTCAATATCCTGAAAAACTGAATGTTTGGACAGGAATATTAGGCGATACTATAATTGGCCCCTTGTTCTCGTATCTCGATATACTGGAAGACACCATCGAACCTTTTTTTGTGCATGTAGCTCTAGCCAAACCTAGCTCTAGACGAAGATTTGCTGCACTTAAAACAAGATCCTCCTTACTCCTCCTTATTATGCAGCTCCAGTTAGGCACTGGCTGGATACTAATTATCCGAACAAATGGATTGGAAGGAGAGGTCTTATTGAGTGATCACCGAGATTACCAGACTTACCGCCACCTGACTTTTTTCTATGGAGTTTCCTCAAGTCAGTTGTTTATAAAACTCAACCTGCGTCACTTGTTTAATTGCGAGAAAGAATTACGCAAGCATGTCGCTCTATTACTAGAACATTTGCCAAAATTCGTGAAGAATTTGAAAATAGGCTGTATTATTTTTCACAAAACAACGGAACCCACTGTGAACATAATTGACATTTTTAACAAATTTGTAGTTCAACTAAAACCTCATTAAATTTTGTATTTAAGGCAAAGTTTCACAAGATTGCTTCACCCTGTTTAATTATTACTTATACCATTGGATAAAATTTTTTATAGTCTTATCAATGCTGTTTCACAAGGAGGAGTTTGTAATTTAAACTGTTTTGGTTGTGGTGGGTGGGGCCTAGAGGGTTGATGGAGGTGAGTTCTCTTTCATGTCATTTTAGTTTCCTCTTAGTATCCTAAAAACGGTTTCAAGCATTTTTCGATGTCAGCTTTTCTTCGTGAGATATATCCCATTGTAAATTTTAAATTGACACTGTAATTTTGATATTTGATACGATTTATTTTGGCAAATATAAAATACTTACATTTGCAAGAATCTTTGTCCAGTCGGTTTCATATCCATGGCCAGGATGGCAGTAATTCTTTCCTTTAAGATCATGTCGACTTTTTATCCTCGATTTCTTATCAACTACAGCAACGACTTCATAATCGAAAGGTGCTAAAACAAGAAATATCATTAGATTGAATTAGGTTATTGTCTTTGAAGAAGAAGAAAACAAAAGTACGTAAATTTTACTGTGGATGTTGCTTCTACACCCACAATATTTCTAGATCTGATCTTCACCGATTACGGTAAGTTTGAAGACCTTAAAAGAAGGTTCTATAGAAATTAGTCTGTCGATATATACTAAATTTCTACTCCATAAACAAATAGTAAAACCTGTATGGACTTATTGTATAGTGTATTTTTATGTATGAGAGAGTAATAAAACAATAAATTATGTATGCAAATCCCTAAACTGTTGATACGGGTGACTCAATGAAAAACAGATATTTGTCAACAAGTTTACAGAAGTATATAGGAAAATAATTTTAAATTGAGTATGACCACCAGGTATAAAGGTTGGATCAGAATAGAATACAATAGTTGTGAGGGTTACTAATCCCTAAATAAGGTTGCCAGTGTCGGAGTGATGGAGGTTAACAGGTACTAATGAATTTGCAAGAAATGTAAGATGTTTATTTTATTGGTTATATATAACCAATAAAAGTTTAATAAGTACCTACCTATTTGCAAAATAAAGTTTAATTCTTTAGATAAAATAAAACGTTTTATTTTATCTGAAATGAGTGCATTCCACTAAGTAAGGGTTTCAACAATCAAACATTTAATTCTTTAATTCCAGGAATCTACGACAGTAATTGACTAGATAATTACCTTCTAAACTTATTCCACAGAAAATGTGATAGTGGGTTTTTCCATTTTGTAGGAAGGTCCAAGTGGCGTATTCAAAATTCTTAACAGTTCACTAAAAGTAGGTACTTCAGTTGCAAGGTGCAGTTTATTGTGTATACTAGTGTTATGGAAAATTTGGAAGTGCCGTGTAAACGCCGAAAAATTGGTCCTTTAACAGTTAATGAAAAAACATTAATATTTAATTGTTTTAAATCATTTACAGACAAACGTTGGTGTTGGGATTTCCCAACACCAAGTGTTGGGATTACGATCTACAGAGTTATTAAAGAATAGAAATGTGGTAGTTTTCAAATGCCACGTAATGCTCCAGGGAAACCAAAATTTCAAATAGAATATCATTTTAAAGAAGGACTTCGACGGAAAGTGAATGAATTCTTCTTTAGACAAGAATTTCCAACATTGGATAAGGTTCTTGTCTCAGTTCGAGATGATAAGGATTACCCAGAAATGAGTCGAAGTACGTTATGGAACCTTTTAAAAGAAATAGACTTCCGCTGGAAAAAGAATCCCAGAAAGTCTATTTTATTAGAAAGAAGCGATATTGTCATATGGAGAAGACATTTTCTAGGAACCATAAAGGAACTGAGAAACCAAAAAAGAAAATATTTTATCTTGATGAAACATGGATCAACGAGGGTCATACACCAAATAAATTTTGGCAGGATCAAACTGTTACAAGTCAAAGGCACGCTTTTGTAAATAACTTATCTACTGGTTTAAACCCACCATCAGGAAACGGACGCAGGCTGATAATAGTACACATTGGCAGTTCAGACGGTTTTGTTAAAGGTGGTTTATTAACTTTTGAATCAACTCGTACCGGTGACTACCATGAAGACATGAACGCTGATGTCTTTAATGGTTCGAACAAATGATAGATCTTCTTCCTAAGAACTGTGTAATAGTAATGGATAATGCAAGTTATCACTCCAGACTTATAGAAGGACTGCCCACAACCAAGTGGTTAAAAAAAGACTTGCAGAATTGGCTGAGTTTAAAAAATATTACGTACCATCCCGGATCTATAAGAAAGGAACTTTATTCGTTGTGTGCCCTTCATAAAGAAAAATTTTAAAAATACGAAATTGATGAAATTGCCAAAAATGGTGGAATGACAGTACTTAGATCCCCACCATATCATTGTGAATTAAACCCGATTGAACTGGTATGGGCACAGATAAAGAGTGAAGTTTCAAGAAAAAATACCACTTTTAAAATTCATGATGTTAAACAGTTGTTTTTGGAGGCCGTAAATAATGTAAAACCTGAAAACTGGGAAAAGGCAGTAAATCACACTATTAAAGAAGAGGAAAAAATGTGGAAGCTGGACAATATTACTGATAAAATGATCGAGCCAGTTATTATAAATCTTGGTTCTGAAAGTTCATCTTCTGAATCTGATTTGCATTTGTAACAAGTAGCTGTAAGTTTTATATTAATATTTTTATTCATCTATTTAACAAACCTTAGACGGTTTTAAAAACTATTTTTCTCTTTTGTAATTTTTAAAATTTAAAAAAAATGTGAATTTTTTAAAACCCTTTTTAATATAGGCCAGTCAGTTCTAATATAGTGTGTGATAAAAGAGGTCACTTTTGTTTACATACACATAACACTTTATAACACTGAAATAATTCATTTATTTTTTACAATTATTCAAAGTAATTTTTCAATTAATCTTGAGCATGCCCATGGAGTGGTCGAAGGTACCAGTTAAAATTATGCTAATTACTCTCTCGTTCATAAAAATAAACTATAGCTAAATCTCGGGTATACCAAAAAATAATAGGTATAGACATAATCCTTAAATTTCAAAATAAAGTGCTAAGGAATATTTTGGATTCCCCTGAAACGTCAGAAACAGCCACTTCTATAGGGACCTGGGTAAGGAAACATTACCAAGAAAGTGAAAGAAAGCCACAAACAGCGACTTCTTATGAGAAATGGGTCACCTAGAGCCAATAGACGAATTTTCATAGATGATTTTCAGATGATATTAACCAATAAAACTGCTATTATGATTTTTTTTATACCTATTTGGGGTCTTCCCCTTTTGGTCTTCCCCTATAATGCTTATCGAATAAAGTTATATCTTTAACATATATTATATCTTAGCAAGGTTCATATTATGTAATCTCCATTCGCTTAGCTCGGGCATATTTTGACAGATTCATTGTCGGAAACCTACATCACAAAAATTCCTACTTCTCAGTATTAATAGCTCAAATATACTACTATTGTAGACTTCTTCCTTTTAAAAAAGAAGAATTATTCCATATAGTGGAAGTGTATACTAAACACATAACATTTTCCCTGTATATTTAAAATACAATATTTGAGTTATTACAATTGAACATATTGTAGTAAATATTCTATTGTAGTGAATATTGTATTATTTGCGTTGTTTATTTTAGCTAATATAGTTTTATTGTTCCATTATTTTTGTTTTATGCCAATGATCATAGTTGTCGAGGCATTGACTCAATAATAAAATAAATAATTCTTTGTTAGTTCTATTTAGTTAATTAGTTAGTTCTATTTTGAATTTTATTATTAGAGATAGTCAAAGTTTTCCATTTCTTCTATCAGATACCTAATGCGTTGGTAAGTTTTTCTTGAATAAATATAAATATGATAAATGTTCTTTAAAAGTTAATATTTTTAGATGAGTAAGGATGCTGTCAAATTACGAGGTAATCAAACTGCACAAAGATTTATTCAAAACACCAACCATTTTTGTTTAATTATTTGCCCATTCGGCGTAGGTGGATCATTCAAAATATATTTATAAAATTATGTAAATATGTTTCATGTAACAAAAACATTTCACTTAACATCCAGTTCAGTTTGACATGGCGTCAAAAATTAAATAAAAGCTGGATAAAAGTTATAGCGTTGATTGAATAACCCAAAAACTCTTTGGGTTATTCAATCAACGGTTACAGTAATTTAGTTTACATCGTTAAGTTGCTCCAAATGTAGGCAACCAACTTAAACTTTTTGTTAGGATTTAGCTGGAGTTTCTTGAGAATATTTTTAATAAACGTTTATTATTTTCCATTTTCCAGTTAATTTATTATTTTTTAAAAGTGATGATAATAATGCTGAATAAGCAATATTTTAAATGATATTTAATCACAATACTATATGTGTAAAATCCTCATAATAAAGTACGTTAGATAAAAAAGGTAAAATCCCGGGCCGTCCAAAACTAGTTTCTAATAGGAATAATAGAAGATTATGATTTGTTTTAATTATATTTTTGATGATATTGGATATTTTTGATGAATGATATTTTTGAATTATAATATGAATATTTTGATATTTTTTATCTAACCTACTTTATAACACAATATTAAGTACGTCCTGTGATTAGATATCATTTGACATATTGCTTATTCAGCATTATTATCATCACTTTAAAAAATAATAATAAACTAACTGGAAAATAATAAATATATTCTCAAGAAACTCCAGCTAAATGCTAACAAAAAGTTTAAGTTGGTTGCCTACATTTGGCGCAACCTAACGATATAAACTAAATTACCGTAACTTTTTTTTATAAAACATATTTTTTATATATAATAGAAACTTACATTCTATATACATGCTATAAATTTCTAATTCATAGTATAAGTTTGCAAAAGAGGTCGACGAAATACTCTAATGAAATGCGCTATGAGCACGTGTACTTGGTTGTATAATAATTTCCAGCCACTTCTAGTCTGTCAAAAAGTAACTAACTTCGTAAAAACATAATTACTAAAATCACTAGAAAGTTCGGATTGGCGTTAGCGAACCGTGTATACTAAATTTCTTATATAATTTAATTTCTTTTATTGTCATACCATTCCCCGTACTTTAAATTACACGTCATTGTTTTCTGTAAAATAAATTTCTAAGTAAATTTAAAGGTAGCATCTTCGTTTGACACCTTAATTATTGTGGATATTTCCGAAATCCCTTGCATGCGATGTATTATTTCAAATTAGATGACTAATGTTACAAATTTAGCAGCATCATATTTAGATCGCGTTGTTATCATTTTTATTACTGTTTGGGAATTAAATTTTTATTTTTATTTAAATATCATTTACATTTTGTTTTTCGTTTTTAAAGGTTACATTCTATATTCCCTGAATTAATGAATAAATTAATAAAAAACAACACCTTGGTAATGTTGAAATTGAGATTTCATTTCGTCTATTATGAAACCGTAAGAGGCCAATACTTTTTATTAATTCATAATCGGTTTTGATATGAATAGATTGATTAATTTATGAAACTTGCTTAAAGTACTTATGAGTACTAATCTAATGAGTTGCTTCTTGAATTAGAAAGTTATTATTATATACATTATTATTAATGTATATAATAATAACAAGCAGTTTAGTAGACAAGCAAATAAATATTATTCATCTTTACTTGGGACGGCATACTGTTTATTCCTATTTTCTTCCATCAGAATGCAGCTGTACAATTTACTTAATAGAGACCTAGTACATAGTGTTTAAAAGTGATAGATCTAGTAAAGCGGTGAGTAGAAAAGCCATTTTTAAAAAAATTTGTTTATTTACATACAGCCTAAATAATTCCACCACAACAAACACAAGAAATAAATTAGTTTTAAAGTCGATAATGCTAGCATAAAAACTTATGCATATATAAAATGGCTAAACTGAACGAGAACACAATAAAAGAAATCCTGGAAGAAATTAAAAATAGTAAACAGGAGTTAAGAAGAGCTATAGAAGCATCAGAAATAAACATACTGTTAAAACTAGAATCATTAAACGAGAAAACTCAAAACTTAGAAGCAGAAAACTCGTTTATTACCTTATCGTTTTTTTTAACACTTCCTTGCGAAATGCAGCTTTTACATAAATGTTTGTCAATTTTTGTAAGAATTCTCTATTAGCTACTATGAAAAAACTTTCATCCCCAAAACAAAAGTATAAACGTGGCTGATGCCTTTAAGACTCAGACCAATGAAGTCACCTGTCAAATTTAAACTGACATTGCCACATAAACATTTATACTTAAAGATTATTTTCACTATTCTTATTTTAATTTTTTTTTAAGCGATTTTCAAATTGGAAATCGGAAAGCCAAAACAAATGTAAAAATGTAATTCCCACCACAATTATTTGTAATTTAGTCACATCTAAAAAGTATCTATGAAAGGAATCAGAATTTTAGTTAAAACTAATTTTTATTTCGAACAGTTTTTAGTGGAAAAGGTATACTTACTATTTACATATCGCAGTTCATTTGTGACTAGAATCTGTACTCCTTCATTGTTTGCCGCTACAAGATCTTCTGGAGAAAATACTGAAAAGTCTGCTTTACCTTTGAGTATTTGTCTGAGACAGTCAGTTCTGAAAAATGAAAATTTAAGAGAATGATAAGGTAACACATAACACTTTTATATCATATTCTGATTAAATATTTAATTTAATCAGAATATGAATATAATTAAACTTTCAATTCTAAACTACATTCATTTTACATATTCCCAATTGTCAACAAACGCACGTGAAAGCCAAACAGGGTCGTACTGATGTGTATCATATGATTTTAAAAAATATTTACTTTTGAAACTATTAATGTAAGAATTTCTTGAAATTTAATCGTTAAATCACAATTAAACTCAACTCTAAAAAATAACACGACCAGTAAATAACTTAACAATAACTATAACATAAATATAGCACACAATATATTAACTTAAAAACCATGATGAAATTGAACTGATGAATATTAACCTATTTGTACATAAAACTTTAGTACTGTAAGTTCTCCCAATCAGCCTTCATAGACCAGAACTGCTACCAGTTTTGAAACTGTTACTCCGTAAAAAATTTTACTTTTACATTGGTCAAAACTAGCGGCACTATAGAAAATGTCACACCGAGAGTGCAGTACGGATAATATAGGAATGCACAATTTCCGGATTTCACGCCTTGTGCTTGGCGATACAAACAAGTCCAAGTGGTAGTCATAGAACCGTACCCAAATCTCTACGCCGGGCTGTGTTATTTATTATAAAATAATATATTGATAAAATAATTGCCTTCAAGTAGCCAAATAAGAGGCATAAATTTGAATAAAAAGACCGTAAGTTTTTAGCGAGAATTTTATTATAAAACTGTATACTTTATTAAACTAACAAATGTATTTGAAATTACCTTTCTTGATTGCTATAAATATACCGGGTGGAACCTCCGGTAACTCGATTTCCGTGCACCCAGCCCAATATCCAAGAAAAACTTTTTCTTTTGTAAATATGTGAAAAATTATCAGGAACGAGAATGTCGAAAAAGCTTTGCGGAGACAGAATGTCTCCGCTTAATTCACAATATGTAGCTTCGCCATATAAATTTTAAAGTGTTTGTTTGTCTTAGTGTAGTGTATTTTGTATTGTTATGTCCAGTTTTAAATTTATGACATTCTACTATGTCGGATAGTCCACAATTGACGAAATGCCCCTGAAGATGATCTATTGATTGAAAGTACTTGGGCAAGATTAAATTAATCACCGTGTTCGATAGTTGCCTTGTATACCCTCAAAGTTTAAACAAGTTTATGGCCATATTTAGGTGATTATGTTAATGATGGTAATTTGTAGCAGAAGTTTTACAAAAGAAATGAAGACCTATTTATAGAAACATAACTGTATTTTTAATATTTTACATACAATACAAAAAATCTAATTTCTATGAAAGAATTGGAAATGTTACTCTTATGAATATGATTCAATTGTATATCTCATGTTGCCGTTTTATATGCAAAATTCATAGTTTTCGTTGTCAATAACTCATCAATGCCTTTTTATTCTACTGTATACGTATACATGATATAAAATATTTTACTCGTACTGCCGGCAGATGCATTTAATCCAAGCCGGTCCTGTGAGACAATGAGCAATCAACAGCTGGAGAAAACCGACAACCCTGCGCGTTTATTCTCCATAAGAAAAGCATTGCCGTATCTTACCCGTACTGCACTCTCAGTGTGACATTTTCTATAGAACACTTATAGAACAGTTCTCAGGATTCAATGTTCTTTTTTCTACGGCCAGCAACAGATAACTTCTCTCTCGACTTCAAACATCCATCAAATCTCTAAAATATCCTTCCACCCTCTCTTTTCGACTAATCCTCTTTTATTCAAAAAAATCCAACCAATTTCCCAGAGGTTTTAAAACCGTGTTATATTCAAATATGTTAATAAATTGCTTTTGTTTTATCATAATAATTTAAGTAAATTTAACTATATTCATACAAATTTAATCAGTCTGGTTGCATTTTATTATGCGAGAAATACACCGTTTTTATGATATTTACCTTCGTAATTTGGGCTTTAAATATTCTTGTAAATCTTGTTTTTTTTTGTTTAAATATTTTTGGTATTTTCCTTTCTAATTTTTTTATTATTTATTTTTATTAATTAAGCTTGTTTATTTTTAATCTACCAGTATTTATAAATGTTAAACAGCTTTTAGGAAGAATGCCATCTCGCCAAAAGAACGAAAATAAATATTTGAATATATCTTGTCTTACTGGATTACAATGGTTCATAAAAGGTCATTAATACTTCAAGATGTATAATATTAACTCAAGGTGAACCAAAACGGGATTATTATACGAGTTTTTATCTGAATTGATTTTTAAATAAAAATTAATGTACAGGATATTATGGTGTATTTGTAAATTTATACTTTGATTTTTGGTGTCTGTTAAATACGTATACCTAAATAAATTCAAAGTAGTCCTGGTTTATGCAAACTTCAAGAAGATGTAAAATTTCAGATGTAATTATTGGATTTGTACTATTTTGGTCTAAAAGGTTTTTTATTTACATCTGAATTACACCAGGAATAACACCAGCTTTCCGAACAAATAACAACCTAGACAAATATATTAAAAATAACAAGAGCCATAATAAAAAACACTTAAATAGTGGTGTGTACAAACTTCAATGTGGCGACTGCCCAAAAATTTACATCGGTCAAACTGGTAGATACTTTAATAAATGAATGGCAGAACATAAAAGGGCTTTCAATATTAGAGAAACAGATTCGACATACGCACTTCACCTTCTAGATCATAATCATTCTTTTAATGACAAATTTAAAATTCTTCACATTTAAAATAAAGGCCTTAAGCTATCTTTGTTAGAATCTATGGAAATCAACAAATTAAAAAACACAGATATAATTCTGAATGACCAACTTGAGACAAACAGTTCTCCCCTCCTCAACCTATTTCATTAGAGACTATAAATTGTAAACGCATGCCAAAAATAGATCACTTAAGAAAGACAATCAGCCGAAACAGGTGTAGTGATAATAGTTAAAATTAATTTTGTTTAAGTTTGAAAACAAAGTTTTCAGTGTTTTATTGTTACATATTATATATATATATATATATATATATATATATATATATTTTAATTGCAACTTTAATTCACTGGTGCAAATCTAAAGTTTTTGGATGTCGACGATTTCTCTTGCTTACTTTATTTATTTCATCCTCACTCTTCAATCACCCTCAATATTATTAATTCTTCGGAACGTCCTCTCTGAGATACCGAAGACATCGCATTTGCGTTTCTGAATTGCCATAACAGAGGACAGTGGACCCATATTCTTTTTTTCCAAATTGAAATAACTTTCGACTTTCAGAACTAAATGCCGTTCTTCTGGAGATAACACCCTATGTCTCGACTGTATTTTATTTTCTTCCAATTTACTCATTTTACTTTAAAGTACCGCTTCACTACACTACTATAAAAAAATAGGTACTTATATTCAACTACTACACCCCAAAAACGACGAGGGTTGTACAACAGACGAAACAATCGAACAAAAATTATTTAACAGCCAATGCTAAACAAGTATAAACACTGCATTGATTGTGATTGCAAAAACCGTTCGCATGTTTTAGATTTTTGCTGATTATATATATTAAATAACACCAATAGAACCCATCAATACGACCATCAATTAATTTTTAACAATAAACAGAAGTGTAATATAACAAGTTTGAATTTGATCTACTTTGTCGATAACAGTATCGTTATCAGAAAGATAGTTTTTAAATAGCATGAATCACATTTTAATGATTGTGTGAATTAAAGAAATACTAAAATTTTAAACAAATTTTTAAAGTGTGTATAAAGGAGATTACAATTATTATGACGCATGGTACTCCTTATTTTTCAAATAATATGTTCTTGCATATGCATAACATTGATTATTGAGTAAACCTACATTATACGATACGTCAGAAGAAATTAAAAAAAAATTAACATGGAATAAATTCACTGTTTAAATAAATATTCCGTACTCGTACTATTGCAATAAAATATTAAAACCAATAAACGATAACTTGTTGAGCAGTGCTGATTGAAACAACAGAGCAGTAAAATGTTATTCATAAATGTAGTGTAAAATATATCGCCGCTTATCTGGTCCGCTAGTAATAAAGTTACCAGCATTTAATTGCAAAGCGGTCTTCTCAGATGGAAAATACTTTAGTTTGATTGCTAGAAATTGATTTTTTTATGAGATGATCAATGTGCATAGAGAGCATACAGTTTCGTTTGATTTATTTTTGGATTTAACTTACCTATCTGGTGCTACAACACATTCCACCTTACTGTCAGCTACATCTAGATCTGGACAATATCGTTGAGATTTTTTTAAACTTCCCTTGCCATCGACAATGCATAATTTATCTGGAAACAACATATTAAATGTAATTAATAAATATTCTTGATATAATCTTTTTAATGATTCATATTTATGCACAATCTACTCTATATGTAAAAAGTAGTATTAATTAAATCTGTTGAATGTTATGCACAGACATTTTTATCCAGTGCCGGTTCACTTTTATTCATATTCCGTGAAGGTCTTCTTCTTATAGAAATAGATCTAAATAAATAAAAGAATGTGACAAATATATAAAACAAAAAAATATTAGAAAATGAATACAACAGACATTGAGGAACTTGTTAACGTTGTTAAAAATGGGAGCTGCGTCTGTTGAGAAGGCTGTAAATGGTTCTCGAACCACAGGGATCTTTCCCTTTGATCCCGATGTCTTTTTTTTAAGAAGAATTAATATATATATATATATATATATATATATATATATATATATATATATATATATATATATATACCAATACAAACACCATCGCTAACACCAGTTTCCCTAGATGGACTACCAGGACCCAGTGGAGTCCAAAATAAAAAACTGAGAGCAAAAGCAGCACCATCATCAGAAGATTCTTTATCTTTAACACCACTAAAAGAACAATTATAAAATAAGCAGCAAAAAAGCAAAAAAAAAAGAATGAGGTTGCGAAAGTTAAACGAACAATTGGAGCTACTAATATAACAAAAGAAAAATTAGTCAAAAAAAGACTTAATGGCACTTATGGTGAAAGCACACCAAACACGAGAAAGCGAACTATGTGCAGTATGTTCGGAGTTTGGATCAAATGAATTATGGTGGAAATGTCGTCTCTGTGGTCGCTGGCCTCATGCAGACTGATATTTACTTAAACTGTAAATGTAACTAAAGAAATATGTGTTTTATTCTTAAACCTAAGCAAACATAACCACTAATCTTGTGCATCGGTGATCGATATTTCCCATTCCCAAGTTTCAAATTCGTAAAAGCTATAGCAAATAGTCTATAACAGTTTTGTCTTAAATAGTCGATATTCCTCCACCTTCCACTAAATCTATTTATTTTTTTAATTTTACAGATAAAGGGAAAAAATAATTCGAATGAAGTACAAGCACATTCTACACAGACGTCACTGTGCTTTATTAAGTATTTTGATTTTGAATTATTGTTAATTACACGGCTTACGACGCCAAGTAATCGCAAGCAACGACGATTTATAATAACAATCATTTTATGTTACTACTAGAATTACCTGATACTTTGAAAAACAAACAATTATGATTTTTTCATCCGCTCTCTTGGAAGGATAACCTTGATATACCATTAGCATAACCATGGAATATGGAATGACGGTCGGCGAGAATTTAAATTGCTGCCAAATATACGTATGAAAAATTTCTCTGTATAAGGTAAATCCCCAAGAACTTAAATCTAATGACGTGGGAATGCCGATTCTTTAAAGAGAATGTGTAAATTGGACTAATCAGTTATAAGAAAAAATGTAAATACAGGTATTTATATTTAAAAAAATTAAGACAATCTTCTTCATTCTCACAAGTTATAAACGTAGATTTGCAAAAATAATAATTAATACAGTTGACTCTCGTTAATTTTAAACTCGAGTGACTCTTAAAATATTACAAATTATTGAGTGTTTGAAATATTAAATTATTATTAAGTGTTAATCAATTATTATTTATTAATTGCTATTCTATAACGATGACAAAAGTTTATGTATGTGTATTATACTGGTTTGCTTCAAAGCACATTGCTGCTGCTCAGACTGCTCAATAATTTTTTTTTAAGAGAAAAAGTGCCTGAAATGCTTTTTCATCACTTTACAGAAACTGTTAACAGAACAAAGACCACAAATATTGAAAAGAAAACAGGCGAAAACGAAGCAGATCCCTACAACAAGAAATATAAATAACAGATAGGAAAATGATAACGGCCATAAAATCAATCAAAAATAAGAAAGCACCGGGAGTTGGAGCCATCTCACCTGAGCTTATTAAGTACGGCTCAAAAAAATTACACCGGATGATAAAATGGATATTTTAGAAAGCCATAAATGGAGAACGGCTCCCAAAGGAATGAACGGAGGCATATATGACATCTATATTTAAGAAAGGAGATAGTCAACGATGCAAAAACTACAGAGGAATAAGCGTAATATCATCCATAATATGATTATATGGGAAGATACTGCGAGAAAACATAGAGTAAGCGATAAAAGGCAAAATCGGAGGGATCAGGCAGGCTTCACGGCATTAAGATCATGTATAGACCACATATACATACTGAAACAACTGTTGGAAGAGAAAAAAGCAAAAAATACAGATATATATATATATATATATATATATATATATATATATATATATATATATATATATATATATCGAAGAATGATCACAGCTGTCCAATTATTAATTAGTATACTGGTAAATAATCATCATTATTCAGTTGCTAACCCAATCAACCTTACCAGTATACTATATATATATATATATATATATATATATATATATATATATATATATATATATATATATATATATATATATATATATATATATATCGGTTTTAAAACGTTCTCCTACGTCTTCCGATGCCTAGTCGCCATTCACTTCGGTCCATCCAAAGGTCTCCATCTAATTCTGTTTCTCTCATACTTCGATTTATGCCTTCTCTTCAACTAAGGCGGGGTCTTCCTCTTTTTCGTCTACCATGAGGGGTCCACGTTAGGATTTGTTTCGGGAGTCGTTCTTCGGACATTCTTTGTATGTGTCCATACCATCTAAGCTGTTTGGTACTAATGTCATCTACTATTGTGTGTTTCACATTCATTATTTCCGTAATTCTGTTGTTGGTTACCCTTTCTAATCTTGATTTTCCTGCCGAGCGCCTCCAGAAATCCATTTCTGTTGCTTCAAGTTTTCTCTTGTATTTTTTTTTTATTTGCCATACTTCACTGCTGTAAGTGATTATACTCTTAACAATTGTATTGTATATTCTATGTTTGTTGTTGTTTGAAATTGCCTGGTCCCACATATGCTATTGAGAAGGGTAATTGCTTTTCTTCCCTGGTTGTTTCTTTCTTCTATCGTCCAGTCTACGTTTCCTTCTTGTGTGATGGTCATACCCAGGTATTTATATGCGTCGCAATGTTTAATAATTTCGCCATTCCCCAGTGTAAGGTCCTGCTGTGTCCCACCGATACACATATATTCGGTCTTTTTTGAATGACTTTTTTGAATTTGAATGACGGAAATGACAAAGTGTATATTGTATTGTTGTTGATCGGTAATCCCATGTTTTTGCATTTGCGTTTCCAAAGTTTTAGAGTTTGCTCGAGGTAGATCTTAAATAATCTTGGTGAAAGGCAGCACCCTTGTTTTAGGCCTTTGCTAATTTGAAATCCTCTCGATAGCCCGCTTCCAACTTTCACCCTTGCTACAGTTTTGGTATACAATTGTTTCGTCGCTGTTATTAAATTTGCGCTTATATTGGTTTTCTCTAATGCTTCCCATAGTTTGTTTTGTAGGATGCTATCATACGCTTTTCTCAAGTGCACATATAACAGATGCACCTCCTGGTTGACAGCCAGTTTTTTCTCAATAATCTGTGTAATACAAAACAGATGGTCTACCGTTGATCTCCCTACCCGGAATCCTGCCTGTTCTTCAGCTTCTATATCTTTATATTCGTTTTCGATTTTATTTTTAATCAGTTTTCGGTATATTCGGCTGATCGAGTTCGTTACAGCGATGCCTCTGTAGTTGTCACATTGATCCCGTCTGCCTTTTTTATGTATGGTGGATATCCATGATGTCTTCCATTCTTCTGGGATTTCCGCTCCGGTGATGTATCTTTGAAAGAGTTTAGCCAGGTTTTCATATAATTTTTTGTGCCATATTTTATTAGTTCAGCTGGTATGTTCCCTGGTCCTGGTGCTTTGTTATTTTTTAAAGACTTACATACTTCTTCTACTTCTTTTGTTGTTATTCGTAATGGTGAGGCTAAGATATTTACGTTGCTGGTATCACTGTTATTTAAAAATTCCGCTCTGTCCTCATTTAGGAGTTTTTTAAAATATTCGTCCCATGGATCCGGTGTGATTGATGATATTATATCTCTTTTCTTTTCCTGTCGTAGCGATTTTAATACTTTCCAACTTTCTGTACTTCTCCGTCCTCCTAAATGTGTGTTAATCATGTTACACTTTTGCTCCCAAGCCTCATTCTTCTTTTGGCATATCATTTTTCGCACTTTAGCTTGGGTCCTCTTGTATTCTACCTTATTAGCGTCGGTCCTTGTGTTCAGAAATTTTTTATACTTCTCTCTTTTATTTTTAATCTCTTGTTCTATTTCTTCGTCCCACCAATACGAAGTTTTTCTGTGGTTTTTTACTTGGAGTCCGAGAGCCTCTGTTGCTGCTTCCTGAAGACATGTTTTTATGTAATGATAATGCTCTTCATTTCTGGTAAATTGCATGGTTTCTAAATTTTTATCTAGTCTACTCCTGTATAAATCCCTCACGCTTTCTTGTTCTAAGCTGTTTAGGTTGTATTTCTTTATACAGATATACATTTTTCATTTGTGGACCTGAGAAAGGCGCGTGACTCTGTACCAAGGTCAGAATGTGGGAGGCAATGTACAAATTAGAAATACAGACGGAACTCATCATCATCATCACCATCATAATCATCATCAGTGGCTCGAGAACCCTTTCTGGATCCTGATTTGTTCTAGGATCTTCCGCCATTCTGTTCTGTTCTTTGCTTTGTTTTTCCAGTTGGTAATCTTAAGTGTTTTCAGATCTTGTTCCACTTGTTCCATGTATCTAAGTTTGGGTCTTCCCTTTGACCTTCTCCCTACTAGTGTTTGCCTCATTATATGTTTTGGCGTTTCAATCTCCAACATCCGTTCAACATGGAACAATTTCTCAAGCAAAACAAACGAACAATTTCTCGAACAAATAGGAAAAGAATGCGAAGTTTTAAATTCCATAAAAATTACGAAATTGGAATACTT